AAAAAATAACCCGCTCAAACTGTATATAAATCAGCGGTAAAAATGTTCTGAGATACAGTTTCAAATCGAAATTTATTCGGTAATCAACAATAAACACCCAGCATAACCAATATGAAGGTAAGCGTTGTGTTCACTATATCCAAGTGAATTTTGAATAATTCCGGAAGAAAAAAATTATCTGCAAATTTGTTGCTAAATAGTGATAGCCAAAATTTAAATTTCATTTCAAAAATTAAAGAAACACTTGATAGTAGAACTCAGTTTAATCTTTTGTTATTTTTCTTCAGTTCATCCTTGCTGTAGTCATATTGGCATTGGCAGTTTGCAGTGAAGCCGGATACTTGCCAGCTGCAGTTGTGGATGTCTCTCACGGTGCGTGGGGATCACCTTGGGCTGCAGGTCCATACTGGGGAGCCCCAGCTTGGGGAGGCCCATCATTGGTATGTAACAATAGGTGTATTGAAATCTGTTTTTGGTGTTTCAAAAAAAAAAATTATATATAATTAAATTTAACCATACAAATTTTCAAATAAAATTTTTTTCATCAAAAGACAACGAGCCATTCATGGGGAGCACCATACGCACCATACGCTTATGGCGGTCCATATGCTGCTGCTGCCTATGGACCAACTACCGCATACCACGCTGACCCATTGCCTCATGGTCATGACGGGTAAGTGATTAAATGTATTATGCATACGTTTTTCTCACCTTGACCACGTTTTGTTTCTAATAAATTCGTAGAAAATATGTCGCAGCCAACCGAGGAAGTGTTCATGTTGCGCCATTAGGTAATGAAAAATAGTTAGATTATTAAATATATACATATATATTACCATACCCCATTTATTCCATATTAGTCGGGCATGTCCAATCCGTATCGTCGACCAATCTTTCACCAGCACCAGGTAGTTCGTGTTCCATTTTCCTGAATATATTTCAAGTCTTTTTTTAATATGTTTTTTTTATATTTTTTCTATGGAAACCAGGTACCACATGGTAAGGTGTTTATTAAGTAAAAGCGCGCCATAAATATCCAATCTAGCTGACACTTCACACCGCATTTCTACTTAAAAACGGATAATCTATCGTCTCTCTCTCGACGCGTTCTTCGCCCTAATCAAAATGTATATTTCTTCCTATTTATTTCGCTCTATCCAACAAAGGTACCGTAATTCTCGAGATTACATTTGATATCTCAATTAGTTTTACTTAAGAAAAAAGTGCGATTAAAAAAATGTAAAAAAAATATCTAGGAAAATAAATGCGATTGTTATATCCAAGAAACTACCATTTTTTGTAACATCAGAAAAGATGAAAATAAACTATTATATCATATGAACTTGAACTCTTGCATCTTATGATTTCCATTCACTTATGTCATATCGGACATTATCTTTACCTAGTATGTAGAAGAAAGAAAAGAGAAAGAGGACTTGTAGACCATCAGACTGCTGACCATCAGAATTGGCGGCAATCATGCGAAAAATATTGTCTTCCATTCTATTGCAATTAGGAGCATAGCACAAAACCAGCGTATCGAGCATTATTGCAAATTGCAATGTGTATCTATTTCGGAAAGAATGCATTTTAATGCAGCTGCAATGCAATCTCGCATTCTTTTGCTTTGTCGATTCATTACTCTAATAAGTCAGTGGTTCTAATTGCTACTAATTATAATAAGTGTTGTATATTGAGTTGCAGCTTATGAATTCTTTACAAATAAATTATGAATTCCCACCTCTCACTCATTCTGAGACTAGTATGCATACCAATTTTTTTTTGCTATCGACAAATTAATAAATTCTGACAATTTCGAAAAACAATTGAATTTCTAATGTTGCTCTAAACACCGTGTTCTCAGCTCGACAAATTACACTCCTTCTCTTGATTAACATTTGACCATTATTATGATAGCAATTATCTAATATATAATTCACATTGTCTCTCTCCATATCTCTCTATCTCCGTCTTCGTCTCTGAATGATCTGATATCAGTGTGCAAGTGTTTCAACTCAAGAAAGCCCTATGATAGTAAATTCTGTGATGCATAAAATGCATTTGTTAATCGCATACCATAGAGGACATTTTGAAATAGAATGTTTGGCTTAATTGTGTACTCTTTTAGCACCTGATTGAGAATTCTGAAGAAAAAAACAGCAATTTGGAATTTTTGGATCAATTGAAATGTATATACTGTATGTTAAATGGTCATTATTATCTATTTTTCAATGAAAGTCAATCAATCGTTAACATTTGAACAAAAGGAAAGCCAGTGTAACATTGCAAGCTTACGGCCAGTCAGTCGATCGGTCTGAAAATTGACTTCTTTCGCATTCACTTCACATTAATAAATATTGCCAATCAATTTACAAAATTGAAAATATGCGCCAAAGACAGGGGGCGACCGGCCGCACATAAGCATAACTGCTTCATTTGCTAATTGCTAATTGCCAACTTCCATTCGAAATTTTCGTTTGCTGAACTGCCGAACGAGCAGCGAGTAAGTAAGCGAGCGATTGATTAAAATGTGCGCATGAACGTGTTACAATCAGAACAAACAACAATAAAATGTACTAATAATGTAATAATTAGCGACCGACAGTACGAATTCCAACGCGAAAATGAAAAACTATAACGAAATCATTTTTGATTTCAAAAACTTTTCGAGCATAATTACCGTCGATTTGATTACTGCACATAAATCATATAGACAACCACATTGAATGGCTATTCATTTTCAGAAGTATAAATATCGCTAAATTTGTGGATTTGGAATCAGAATTCAATCGACTTCCAATCGATAAACACATAGCCATTTAAACGCTACCAAATCCCAGAACAAAAAACTTTAGAACCAATTCAAAATGAAGGTAATTAGCAGATGGAATCAAGTGCAAGAAAATAAGAGTGCAAGTTATATTTGTGCGTATTACAGTATCAATAAGCAGTTCTAAATATGAGTTGTGTTCTTTTCAACATCTTTTCAGTTCACAATTGTTGCAATCGTTTTGGCATTTGCTTTGTTCGCAAATGCACACGTTGTCGTTGATGTTGCCCACACCCATTCAGGAGTTGGCTCACATGGCCCAGCATTGGTGAACACACACGGAGGATACGGCGGCTATGGTGGTGATGCTTACCACGGGTACAATCACTTACCATTCCTATCTGTTTAGTGTTATGAATTGACCATTTTTTAATTTACATAACTCATAATTCGTTCAGCTATAGCGTTGGATACCCACACGGTGCCCCACACATCACTCTTCACACAACTGGAAATCATGGTATGAAAACTGCGCATTTTCTGAAAATGTTCTCGAAAAAAATGCACCTGATATTGTAAAACTGGTATAAATCTAATGATACATCGTCGCGATTGATAGGTTATGGTGGCGGATACGGTGGCTATGACGGTGGATATGACGGCGCTGCTGGAGCCGGTGCTGCCGGTGCTGGCGCTGGACATGGACATGGACATGACGGGTAAGTTGATACCAATTTAAAAGAATTCTAAGCAGCAAATGCACTAAACATTTTGTTGTATCGTTACAGAAAATACGTCGCATCAAACCGGGGAGCAGTGCATGTGGCTCCATTAGTCGGACACATTCAAAGTGTGAAATCAACAAACGAACAACCAGCACCAGGCACAACATATTAAACCTCCTTCTCATCAGGTCTCCACTGACGGATTTATAAAGTACAGCACCATCAGCACCACCGCCTTCGACAACTATTTAACAACACCTTTAACTAGTAAAAATTAAGCTTCCAACTTAGCCGACACCATACAAATTACACCTAAAGCATACGCCATTTCTGTGACTTTACTCTTCTTGTCTTCATTTTCCCGACCTATTCACGAAAAATAGCAGCAACCTCTTGCTTTTCTTCCATCACGGCATTTCTATTGGGCAATTGTATCTTACACCGACAAAACTGCTGCCAATCCACACCAAAGCTATAAAATACTCATATTTTGTAAATATTATACACAAAATATTTTTAACCAAATAAATTGAATTATTGAGAAAAAAACACAATATTATTTTGTGTCATTTGTTTACATAGAAGGGCATATACGAGGGTTGCTGCATAAGTTTCTGGTCTAACCTATTTCTAGTGTTTTCAGATGCAATCTGACGATTCCATCGGAAATTTTGACATTTTTTAGGCTAAAAAACACTATAGCAGGGATTGTTTTACATTACTGGGTGTGTCTAAGCCTCCTTTCCAAGGGATACCTGGAAAAATCGTAAATTTCAACAATAAACTTCATTTTTCGATATGGGAAAAATTGATTATTCTGTTGTTAACCACCTAAAAAACTTCGTTTATCCTCAATTTAATAATTTCTGGCTAACGAAACCATTATTTTATATTTTGGGCCTGCAAATATTCGATTGAATGAAGGCATGTCAAAAGGTGAAAATTCATGAAGTGACAGATAGTTCCCAGTTTTTGGCCCATTTTCTGAATATTTTCATTCCAAAAATGTCCGCTTTATTCAGAATTCATGGCACTACAATTCCAAAGTATAATAACAGTCATGTAAATCATTTTTTCCCAGAACGAAGCATTGCAATTTGCGAAAATCGTCTGTTTTTTCAGAAATAAGGAAAATTTTCTGTTATTTTCAAACACGATACTATCACTAAAACCTTCTGGGATGACATGCTATACTCATAAATGATAATTTTGTAATCTCTAGTGACGATTGAGGGTTTTTCAGCCTATCAAAATTGCATTATTGAGAGTTTGTAGGCCTATTTTTGTCCAAAACTCTTTTTTTTGGTTGAAAACATATTTGGAGGTTTTGACATGTGAAAGGCATTTACGTCACTAAAACCACATGTAATATTGACCTCATGCATGTCATACTAATGCCAAAGGATGCCCCAATCTCACTATAAGTCGTATGAGAATATTCCACCTTTAGGTTTCGCACAGCATCAATGTGTTCCGGCGTTACAGCTGATATTTTACGACTTTCCTGCGGACTCATTTTTGAGTGAGCTTCGTCAACATTTAAAATCGTTATATCACCTCTAAATACTTGGAATGGACCGAGTTTTATCACCCAAAGCGAATTTGAGGCTATCACGGCACTCTTGTTGAGTTAGTCCCTCTCAAAAATCGGAAAAAATCATTGCACTAAAATGTTTGCGGAAAAATTCAATTTTTTCATCAAATTGAAATATTCAAGCTCATAAAACACCACGATCCGTAGTGAATCAACAGTTGACGTCTGAGGAAACTTAGCTTAAAAAAGGTCAAACTTTTTGACTGACCCAAAGTTTTGCTTCGGAAAACACTAGAACTAGGTTAGGCCAGAAACTTAAGCAGCAACCTACGTATGCATATCACAATCGTATAATATACAATTGATTGCACATACTACTTCAGCTTCTGTAAAATACGTAAAGCATGTTGTAAAAGGAAAGTTACAATAATAATATGCGTATGCATGCATACGATGCGATCAATTTAATAAACTAATGCGGTGTAATAGGTCGTTGCCTGTATTATTCGATGAGGTAATCGAAAATAATAAAAGAGAAAAAACTATAGATATTCGCATTAACAATAAATAGAAAATATACTTTGAAATCATCGCTTGTTGCACGGTTGTAGTGAACATTGTTTCATCGCAATGGGATGTGTTAATTTCATTAAGAAACCATATATTCGATTACACAATTGATTTTACATTGGTTGCTTCGCTATCGAATGTTTTTTTTATATGAAAAAATTACGTGCAGTCGGTAAAAATAACTATAACCTATAAGAATTTACAATATTCTTCTCGCGACAATGACATTTGAATAGCTTCTTCAATTGAATAGCTTTAGCTTGAATCAAAACCCAAAAAGAATGAATTGAAAACAATCATATCCTAATATTGTATTAGTATTAGGAAAATGTGCATTTCGTAATTGAAAACGAGCATAGATTCTGACATAGTCTGATCTCGTTGATCTTGACCCCTGCTGGCGAAATTTGACCCCCCCCCACGAAATTTTTCGGACCCATCGACATTCTTCGACTTTGTTTTCGAAAGTGAGAACATTACACACTAGATAGAATCGATTCATTTGACCCATTATTGAATTTTAAAGAATGATTTTATGATTTTACAGTAGATGGAATTGAATGAATTTTTGGTTTGAAACCCCCCCCCCCCCTCGAATTTTTGGTGTCAGAATCTATAGACGTTGAATGCGAGTGGAGACGCCACAAAAATGACTCCAATATAGTCGATTATAAATCGAACTACTTTCTATACGTTCGTGCGTTGTGCATTTCATACACCGCTACACACACAAAAAAAAGAATATAAAATGGAATATACAACAAAGTAAGATCAATCAGAATAGGATTAAATAGGAAATAAATCAATGAATTGGTCTATACTTTCACCCGATGTACGAATTTATTTCCTATTTAATCCTATTCTGATTGATCTTACTGTGTTGTTTTTTACATTCTTTTTCTTTGCTACACCCAGGTGTATGAAATGCACAACGTATAGAAAGTAGTTCGATTAATAATCGACTATATAGGAGTCATTTTTGTGGCGTCTCCACTCGCATTCAACGTCCATTGTAGAAGCTTACTTGTCAAAGTTCAAACATCAATGTAAACATATGGAAGTGGAGGAAATGACGCCAAGCTGCACGAGGTTGTTTCAACAAATATACAAACATGTGCAAACAAAAGAGTAGGTATTATTTTTATAAACAACTCGAAATGGCATATGAACTCAGTGGCAGACTAGTATATTTTAGACAAAAATAAACAATTCATTTTTCAGTACAAAAAACGTTTTTTTTTTATTAAAAGGCACAAAATAAATTACATTTCATTGTAACTGATCACAAATTATTTTTTTAACAGATGTTAACGTTCGTTTGAGAAAATCCTGAATTATTGGCAAGCAACAAATTTATTCGGTTCCATCGTAAACTCGTCATGTTTAAGTGTATTTACCAAGTCGTTCCTGTAAATATTTGTAAATCAATTTTTTATCCGCACAAACAAGTCGATAATAATGAATGATACCTGGGGCGGGCTGATAATTTTGCGATTTAACACTCTGAGTATGGCCAACGAGATCGGCCACATGGATAGCTCCCCTTTATACAGATATATTTATGAATTTTGTAATTTAAATTTCAATAAAAATTATATAGATTTACCCACCTATTGATTGCAACGTATTTTCTGCGAATGAGATTATAGCGATTAGAGCGTATAAATAGCATGTTGTTTGGTTGTGTTTATTTTTCAAACTGAAAATGCAAATAAAAATAACAATTTTACCCATCGTGTCCATGGCCAGCATCACCCGTGTATCCAACACTTCCTCCATTTCCCCATCCTTCGCTCGAACCGTAGCCTATAAAATATGAGTATATTTTACGTAGGCGCTTAAAACCCACCTCTAAAAGCTTCAAAATGTCAGCGTCTGTGCACAAGACATTGCAATAAACTTATTCACTAATTACAATTTTTGCGACGTTAAGCACAAAAAAATATTCATCCTCTCAATGAACGAATGAATGTCATTTATTTACACTAACTACACAAGTTTTATGTTTCAATTTCACAGTTTGGATTGTGTGTTTCTATGATGTGTGTACCTGAACTACCACCCCAGCTGCCGCTGCCGCCGCTGTGTCCCTTTCCACCAAGAGAATAAGATCCTGGCCAACTATTTGGCCAATGCAAATTGATCAATGCAGGTCCATGCGATCCGACTGGACTGGCCACTTTGGCAACTTCAATGACGGCGTACGGATAAGCATTAATTGATACAAATAATGCCACGAAGATAACGGCTGCGAACTAAAATACACCGGTTACAAAGTTAAAAAAACATTTCACGAAAATACTAGTACACTGTATTCTACAAACACGAAAAATTAAACAATTTCGATCGCTTGCTCACCTTCATTTTTGGAAAATGTGTTTTCTTTTTGTTTACTTTTCTTTCGTAAATTCACTTGTGTTCAACAACTGATTGGGAATAGATAACTGTGCGCAAAAATGGATGGTATATCGCTTTTATACCTACAATGAAAGCACCAATTTATTCAGAAGCCAACACGCCTGTTACGCATCACATTTTTGTTATAACGTATGTTATATGATTTGTTTGTTTGTTTGGTGCATACTTACGAAGCATGTTACACTATATTGAACATTAATTTATTTCATTTTTACATCGTCGTTCAATTGTTGCAATCGCAGCCGTTCATATTGATTGGCAATGGTAAACCAAATGATGTCTTGACATTTGAATGGCAGCTTGTACTGGCTAAATATTACGCAAAAGGAGATGTTAGTTCCTATTACTAAACCCACCATACCTACATAGAATATTCGAACAATTACAAAAATATGTTCGAAAAATTTCCATTTTTTTTAGAACAGTTGGGGAAAAGAACATGAATATTTACTTTACATGCCTATATTTCCTTCTAAGTCTTATTTGAGAGCTCAATGTAACACAATGAACGGGAACCCAAAAACGTTGCATTTTAATATTCGTTCGTGGGCACATTTCGTCATCGGTACATGCAGGAATGATATTTCATGCTTCAAAAATTTTAATTAAACAAAAACTATTTCTATTACATCTAACAATTGAATCGAATTCATCGATAATTTTTTTGATCTGATTGGAAAAGCTTAAATGCAAATCGTGAATCAAAACCATTCATGCGTGAAGTTGGTCTACATAGATTTCATGGCCTCCTTCTAATCGAATTCTTTTTGCATAATATAAATGTACAACACACACACACACACACACACACACACACACACACGAAGAGCTGCAACTGAAACAGTGTACGGTATGTGTTGTCTTCAATTTTACTTGTTTGCATTTTTGGGCCACGCAATGTCGTTGGTAAATCAGCTTTGTATTAATTTGGTTTCAATAAAACAACGAAAAATTGATTAACACGATGTTAACAAGCTGTTGATTTCGTATCAATATTCATGGTTTTTACTGTTTCCTCAACTAAAACTGTTTATAAATCGATTCCCTTCGAAAGCTATCACCACAATAACTTGAGCCTTTGAACGAATTGCATTCGTTAAACTTCACCATGAAGGTAAGTAACAAACGAAACTTTTTTAAACCTTCTCTTGTCTTTACCACACTTTGTTTTGTATTTTCCAGTTTGTTTTATTAGTTTTGCTGGCTATAAATCTGTCCGCGCAAGCACGACACATTGGAAATAATCGTTTTCGTCGTGACGATAATCACCAAAGCGAGACAACAACGGATAAAAATGCCGATGGCCCAGCATTTTGGCTTCGCAATTTGGTTGTTGGGCCACCAGTGGGAGCGCCTCAAATAAGTCTTAACGTGAATGACAAAATTGACGATAGCCTCATTGAATTTATAAATGATGCTCAGAAAAAAGTTGCACAAGAAAAGGAAGAAGCAAAGAAACCGAATGAAGGAAACAAAGTAGAAAGTGAGGACCAAAAAGGGAGTCCTCCTTCAAAGCCGAATAACAATGCAAAAAGCAACGGTGAGGAGAATAAAGGGAGTGATTCGGATGGTAAAAAGGCAGATGCAACTGGAAATAGTAAAAATGATGGAAGTAAAGACACTCCAAAGGAGTCTGATAAATCTAAAAGTGATGGCAATTTCGGTGACAAAACATCAGAGCATGATGATAGCAAGGCGGATAAGAAATCAGATGATAACAAAAATAGTTCGAATGATAAATCAAAACCAAAACCAAGCGATGATGGTGGAAAAGGAAAAGACGGTGGATCAGCTGTCGGACGCGGGTTTGGATACTCGTTTCGATAAGTTATAAAATTCTCTTATGGTAAATATGTGCATTGAACTGCCTGTGAAGTCGTACAATTTCAAACCTGATCACGGAACAAGAATTAGTAAATTACTCAACGGGCCAAATTCGCTTCTATTCAATTAGTTGATCAGACATTTCTTTTTATGGTTTTCTCACCAATGACTTTTGTGAAAGAAATAATAATAGTTTTTCACTTTTTAATGAATTTTTACATACGTTGACAATTTTCATTATAAAATTTCAAGTCTTCTGTGTTAATGTGTTTTTATTTAGAAACAAAAAAATAAATTGTCAATTTTTTGTGCATTACATGATGTTTCGATTGTTTTTAATCATTGACCATTTCAATATTTTCAGTATAGCGTACAAATCAAAGCGTTCTTAACATAAAAAAAACTTTCTCTCCATTTAAAATTGAACACAAACAAGTTGAAACATTTTGAACAAAGCAAACTGGAAAGCAGTTACGTTGTGCTACCATGTAGTCGCTGGCGCCGGCTCAAGATTTGTTGTTTTGACTGATTGCAAATGCCCGATAAGCTAAGCCAAAAAAAAATCTTGATCAATAACATTTATATTTGCAAGTGTGTTCTGTAAATATTCGTAAAACATACCGGCGCAATATGAACTGCACCGCGATTAACAGCAACATATTGTCTGCAAAGTACAAATACATGTAATAACTTGTTTTTTTGCTTTTAATGATTGCCTACCCATCGTAGTTGTTTCGATGTGGAATGAAACCATTTGCTCGAAAAATGCCCTGTTTTAATCCAATAGAATTTGTCCCAGCAGGAGGACCGATAAATATATCAGCATAGCCATAGGGCAAAGTATAATGCGGTTCAAAATTCACCAAAGCCGGACCCCGCGACCCAATAGCAGCATACCGGCCAGCTATATCGACTACTTGAATTCCCATTGCATTCTTAAATGTGCACAAACAAAGTAAAATCGTTGACCACTGAAAATATTGATAATTGTTAACTTTACTGTATATACACAGTGGGCGTTCAGAAGACTTATGGCTCGAAAGTACAAATTGCCCAAAAAACTGATTTGAATTTAAAAAAAAAATTATGAAAAAGAGATTCTTCAAGATTTCTGGACGTTTATACGATATACATACAATGCTTCGATTTAAAACTTCAGACGTACCTTTATCTTATACATATCAATAGATTCACGGTTTCTGTCAGGTCAACGGTTCTTTCTATCAACAGTTTAATCAAAACTGACTGATTGACATCATGTCAGCGCCTTTTTATATACAGATTTGTCGCAAAATAAACAGCAGATAAAACAATGCAGCAAGTCTAAGATTGATTTTTGAAATACGGAATAAAGAAAATTCAATTTTTTTTACAATTGTTGAAAAAAAAAACTATTGAAAATCTTTCAATTTCATCGGAATGTTAAACATAAGGTGGTTTTGTCATTATCTCAAGCTCAAATGCCAACAGGTGTGACAGATTTATTATTCAAGTGAATTGTTTGGTGTTTGCTCAAATTACTATGTTGCCAGCAAAATGCGAAAATCATTAATCATAAAGCCTAGCACCACGGATTTTTTCCAATAAACAAATTGGACACAACAATTGAAATATTTTTCTAATCAGTTTACCATGCTAGCGCACACCATTGTAATTGAACCGCTTAAGCTATTCTTATCATGTTGAAATCAGGTTGGAAAAACGAGAATCGGACCAAAATTCCCTTTATGTACACACATTGTACACCACGCTGTTGTTATGCGATTGAAGTACAAATTTCGCAACGCAAAAGCACTTGCACTCATTGCAGTCATTATCTGTGTTCATTGTAATCTCAATGTTCGATTACGCTTACTTTGGTGCAGTAGAAATGGAGCACGAATATCGTTCAAAAGGTAAAATCAAAATCGTATCTGTGTTATTTGTTCCTTCCTACTACTATTTATAGTATATTAAAACATTAACCGCATTCGTGCTGACCATAAAACACATTTTGCTTCGATATTGAACCGAAACCGTACACATAGACTCACTGTATGGTAGACTATGGCATTAATCCGTTGCTTACGAATCCATTCAAAGATCTGATGGTGACTCTAATTTCGACCACACTTCGGCGTTCATGCCGCGTCCAATATCATAAATTAATTTGATACAAGTTTACACGATGTGATATTAGAGCCCATTGGTTCACAAAGTGAAGCAAAGCTAAGCAAAGCATGGCAAAGAAAAGCAAGCGGACCGCGTACACTCTACAAGTCTACATGCACTTTTTAATACACACAATGCACATTGGAAACGTGTGATAATTTATTGCAATCTGCTGTTAAACAATTAATTCAATGTTGTTGCTGGTGTTGTTGTTTTTGTGAGATGGCTACGGTTGGTCAGTTCTGTGCGCTTTGCAATATACCAACCATGCCGATATGGTCGTGTTGCATTTCAGCGGCAAGAGAAACACTGGTATGTTCTTTAGCAGCAGCAGCGCATATGTGTAGGCTGTTAACGCATTTCACATGCACTGCTGTCAGATTTTTCATTTTTCTCTTGCCAATTGCTGGGTTTTAATTCGAAATTGATTTTCTAGCGAAACAAAAAGCATATTTTCCATTTGTAACTGTATTAAAGAGTTTGCTGTTTTTTTCTTTCGTTTCGTTATTCTTGGTGAATGTTTTCTTCGTCAATATTTGATTGTATTCGCTTGCGTAACAGACATTTATTAAAAATCAGCGCTAAACCCGTTTCGATTTGCATAAAAACACACATATATGCATGTTCTGAGTGCTGCAATTGACAACAACAAAATATCAATCCCACGGCAATTGAAGCGGTGGTGTATAGTTTTGGCCGAGATTTTCGAATGTAGCAAAAAATATTTCGCCAAATGACGCAGTTCAAAAGCGACATAAATTTTATTGTACATTTAAAATGATCTTGCATCCCGGATTTTCGAACATATCAGTCATATTTTGTGTGAATGAAACCAGTGAATATTTATCATAGCGCCACTATTTCCAATTTAAGATGTACAACATTTCGGGAAAGTGAAAATTGGGCACTTTCTACACACGTCATTTCAAGGCCATCCACCAATTCAAAAGTGATAGCATACTGCATATTTTAAAAATACTGATATCACAGAATCAAGTAAATATATCCGTTCTAAATTGTATTTTAATGTAGCCTTTTGAAGTATGGGCTCATGACGTATAACTCGTGCTTCAAATGCATGATAATTTTAAACTTGAAGCCAATAATTTTTGCTAATTTGCATATGAATTATCCACAGTTACGTCTATATATGATTATTATAGCTTCAACAAGGCGGTTTAAATGAAAGTGAAATAGTAGCATATAGATACGTACGTAAAGATAGAAACTGCTGTGGTTTTTCTGACATTGATCTTGCACTCGCAATACGCAATTCAACGCCTTATTTACGCATACACAAAACATATAGGCAAAGCGGTTGCACGTTCTCTTTGATGTGGAATTCACTGCAAACAGATTTTACAGTTTACATTGATTTTGAACTCAGAGAGTCATGGAAAAACAGGTTCGACACAGGAAATATTTTAAACGAAAGAATGCGTTGAAAAGAAAAGACAATTTTTTTTTTCATTTCAATCAAAGTAGTTTGTCATAAGAAAATCAGAATCATAAACGAAAGAAAAAAAATTGTAAGTGACTTGGATTAATTGGAGTGTAAACAATAAAAGCGAGATGGAACAAAAAGAATGGTGGAAAGTCAAAAGCATTCAGTATGTGTAAGTACTCGCCGCTCTTTGTTCAGGAAACATACCATAAACATTAAACAAGCAACTCGACTGGCTTGGGAATATTTTTATGAATACGAAATCATAAACAGAATATGAAAATGAAATTTTTAGAAGAAAAAATAAATAAATTCGAGACCAACAGCCAATTAGTTTCACATCGTCAACAAGTTTTCGATTGGGTTAATTGTGCAAATATATATTTTGGTCGAGTAAACCAATCTGATTTTTGGTTGTTCAAACGTGCACAAAAACTTGGTGGTTGAGAGACAATTCAACTCGGTTGCGAGTGAATTATCACCGAATAATTCATACAATCGCGTCATGCAGAACACGATGAACAACGTGGAAAAAAGTTTGGTAGACGAAGTCTTGTTGTGGAGGTGCGACAATCATAAAATAATTCAAACTTTGACTATCGTTTCGAATTCGTTTGCTGTTCATTGTTTTATGACATGCAAAGTTAACTGTGAAGAAAGTGGATAGATGGTTAGCTGGCTGGTTGGCACCTCCGTAACATACAAAATTCTCGAAATATGTTTCATTTCACGACGTCGACAGCGCATGGTGCTTGTTCAATATATAGGTGGATTGTATTCGCCTTAATGTAGGCTGCCTCTAATAAATCATATGTATATTTTGGTTAGGCGTGCGATTAAATGAAATGCACGCCGCATTCAAAAGCGTTGCCAATCTGCACCACACAGAAACGACATAAAAGAAAAAATAACATTGATTTTTATTGGATATCACTATCTTTCATCTATCATTTTGCATGCGTTCTGCTGTTTTCACGCTTCTTTAACATCAGAGCGGTTCGTGTGTACTAGTTTTTGCTCACAACTAACGTCACCGATCGCACGATTTCATAGTTTTCGAAAATGAATGTCAGACAAATTCGAAAACATTACATTTTAACATTCGCTTTGGCGTCTATCTTCTCCAACTAATAAATATGTTAAAATGACACGTGAAGCGCTCAAGGCAAAACTGAAAAGCGCCCGATATGGAGTTTGGTTGAATGTATAAGACTCTATTGTTTTTGTTCTGCTTTTGATGGCTGCTCAAATTAAGTGTTTTAATTTATTCATATTTCAAAACGGCATGCGTCAATCTGATATGTAGTTCCACATGACTCGAGCTTTGTATTGTAGATTGTGATTGTTGGATTTTATTCCTATGAGCTCATTTGCACCAACCTGAAAATGACTTGGGAACTTTATATTCAACGGTTTTTTCAACGATTTGGCAGTCATTTGATGCCACTTTCTTTGGAATGATAGCATTTGAACTCAGTAGTACGACCACCACTACAGCTACTGTCATGAGTGAAGAAATCGAATTAACTCCGAAAGTGAACTGTGGCGTATGGACTGCAATTGAAAACTATATATATAAGGAAAATAACGAAAAGATCTGGGATAACAAGAATGTGCCCCCAAAAGTTGTGGTAACACGAAAAAAAGAAAAACTAAGATCGAGGTGAATACGAAATGTGTGATTGTGAATTCAGACGTTTGTTTTTCTGATTCTTTTCGATTTGTTGATAAAATAGAAAATATTTGACGCCAGTGATAACGACACTTGTTCAACAACGCCGTAACAGCAGTGTGCCTTCGAGACGCAATTCAGAGCGTGGCACTTCCGCTCAAAGTGCTAATGAGATTGCAAATGCTTTTGCCCAAAAAGCATTGATTATACGGACCACTAGAAATGTGCATGCCGAAGAGGTGTTTGAACGGAGCAAAAGATTATTACAAAATTGTAATATCGCAGTCATTGATTGCAGGTATAATCAATCTGAAAATCTTATGATATTGCAAAATATGTTCGAGCGACACTCGGCGGAAACAAATTGAAAAAGTTTCTCAATGAATTTTCTGGCGCGATGTCTTTTGTGTAAAACCCTGTACATATACATATTTGATCAATAAATAGCAAAGAGTGTAGCAAAATGCTGAATTGAAGATATCCCCTGTTACCACTTTTCCCTTCTTTTCATTGGAAAGCATTGTGGTTTTGGCGACGATAGTATAGTGTATTTAATTTTTCAATTCATTCCTTTCTATAATAATGCCGTGTGCTCATCGTCGTCGTGTGCACGATTTAAAACGGATTTTCAATACATTTTTTTTCTATTTACCGTCGACAAACATCCAAAATTAATAAATAAGCAGAGCAAAAATGGAACCAATATTTATGTACGCTAACGATTTTGATACACGGAAGCATTTACAGTGCTACTATGACACGCCGAATGATTTCCTTTCTTATTCTTCTATCCGCAGAAATAAATAATTGTTATTGCTTTATTTTGCACAACGTGTTTCGTTTTACGCTTCATTCTTCTTCATTTCGCATTCATTTGTCTTGTATTTATGTAAATATGGGCTGTTGTGACATTTTCATGGTTGTACCATTCCGAAAGACATTCATTCCGTCTCTCAGACTGTCGAGACACATACCTAGACTTTGGAGTGAAATTTTAAAATCCAAGTTTTTCTGTTGGAAAAACAGTTCGGTTCGGTGGCAGTAACTTGGGAATAATAATATGGAAAGGAACGAAAAATCGAAACGAAAGGCCCATGGCATTCAGTGTGCCATTGAGTGCTCCATTGCAACGCCTAGCAGGTGATCGTATTTAGTGTTCACATTTTTTCTTCTTTCGTTTCAAATACGTTCTTGAGACGTACCGGAACTCGAACATTTTCGGAATTTTGTCTGCCAACAATTGCAATTACGCCTTTCAGATGGTGGCCAATTCTTAATTTCCGATTTCTTTTTTCCGAAAGGTTAAGGATATTCGACATAAGCCCCATGTTTAAACAAGTTGCAATTTTCCAATTAAATTTCTCATCTCAAAATTCTATAGGACGCCCCCAGCAATGTATATAGTAAATAAACTTGAAATACATAGAAATAGGGAAAAAAAACAAATTGAAACGCAGAAAATTGTTTGTTAATCTAACGCATCAGATACTTCAATTTGTTTTCCCATTTGATTCGATGTCTACGTGGGATTTAAAGTGTGTTCCAGATAATTTTTCGATTGTGGAAAACCCAAGAAACCATCAAAGGAGCAAACATGTTTGCTTATTTATTTGGCTATCATTTGAAATATTATCATTTTTCAAGTACCGACATTTTTTCCATTCTCAGAATCATTTATTTTTTACTGAACATGATAATGTTAAATGTTATTCTATAAAATATTTAATGTGCGTTTAAATTGTAAAATGTTACCAAGTGATAAAATTATCGAATAGTTTGTTATGTATTTATCATTTGAATTCTTTCAATATGCCATCAAAATGCAAACACATGAAGTGTATAATGAGTAACAGTTCCTGTTTTCGCTCAAGTTTGCATCATACGTGTCACATAATGTGGAACAATTTATAGAACAATAGATGTGGACAGTGCAATCGAGAGTGGGTAGACATCATGGAAAATGTGCGTTACGATGTGAAAATCGTAATAATTTTTTTTGTATTCAGAAAAACAGAAAAGGGATGAGAGTAGACCGTATATGTTGCACTATAAAGGTTGACGCAAAAAAAGGCAGGGGTTGGTTTCACCTAAATTTATTTATATAAATTTCAAATATCAAATAAATTTATCCGATATTTTTCATGCATTGTGTTGTTCTAACGCATTTGCCAGCTATTTATCGCCGGAATGAGATTTTCGTTTTGTTCATTTACCGGTATTTGTCAACAATTCTGCCACTGTCTCACTACATGGTATATACAGTCCATAAGAAATGTGTAGAGACAATGCAGAAAGATATGAAGATTTGTATACAAACGACCAAAAATAAACAAAACAAAAATCTCCATAACTAATGTATTGGCAATGTAAAACTAAATGGCGAACATTTTCGTCTCTGCACATTTCTTATGGACTATATATGCTATGTAGTGACACAGTGGCAGACTTGTTGACAAATATCTGTGAAACAAATGAACAAACCGAAAATCTCATTCCTGCGATGAATAGCTGGCTGCCAATACAACAGCCGATGTCTCGTTTATGTACTGCAAATGCGTCAGAACAACACAACGCATGAAAAATATCGGATAAATTTATTTGATATTCGAAATTTATATAAATAAATTTATCTGCAACCAACCTCTGAAAAAAGGACATTATCGATTGATTTGAGTTTCATGTATCAAAGATATGAGATGACGAGAAAAATGTAACTATTTTGTGCCCGTCGTGTATTTTGCCCTGTGAAACAGTATCCTATAGAGAATGAAAAACAAATTCTTGAGAACGAAGAGGAGAGTGGAAATGACGTGTGTATATGCATTGTATACTTAATATTTGTATGCAATCCGTGTTCAAGCAGCCACAATGTGAACGTAAAAAAAAGTATGTATTGTAGTGGTGCGGCATTGAATTCATCTTGAATATATATTTTTATGTTCGCTTGAGTTTTTCCTAGCCAATTTTCAATGAATCGTATCAACAGACACCACTGTTACATTCTATTCACGTCAAAGCGAACAAATGATTACAATTTTTTGATAAATATTGATTCATAAGATTTGACCTTTGGGCAAACAAACAAAATGACAACTAAGAACCCATATTGAATATGATTAGCTTCCATTTGTTGGCCAATTCAAGCCTCGGTACTTATGAAATGAGGGCATTGTATACAAACAAAAATAGTATATCGTCTGTGTATGGCTAAAACCAGTCATCTAATCCTGCCTCTACGGAACTGTCTCTATGGAATGAACTTCCTTGTGGTTCAAATCATACTTTTCTGTAATGTCTGTTCAACATTTTTGGCTTATAGCAAACTGAAGCTGAAGAGCAAATTTTCTTTTTTTATTTCCATTGATTATTTTACTAATATTTCAAGTAAAGTGCGTTCTATGAAAACTAAAATTGGCATGCATGCATAAATAAATATTTTCATCGCATAAAAATAGCAGAGTTCAGCTTGACTTTAATAAATAAAGAGTTTGATTTCTATTTAATCCTCGAAATACGTGTACGAAAAATATGAATTTTATACAGCACACCTTATACATTTCTTATTGAAGCCAAACCATTGATGATTAATTTCATTTGCATATAGTAAAATAAATATCCTTACAACTGGTTGTTATCATTTTCCCCTAATGACATTTGCATGTATGTCGCGTAAGCCATATATCACTGTCGTTTTATCGGTTTTATGGATTTAAATAATGCCATGACAAAGTAAGCTGAAAAAAGGAACTTGCCAGTAAGCCCAGGAAAACTTCTAGTCATAAGCATATTACGATTCACTCGGTTAACTAGTTGGTTTTGAGATCTTGAACTACTTAGACTATTTACAAGAAAGAAAACTTTCTGGAGTATATTATTCTCAGTTACATTGGAATTCTATTTGCTAAAGGGCAACAAATATTATGATAGCCCCGTCCAATCAATAAACCTTTGAAACATATTTAATCCGTTTTAGTTTCAATTTGCCTCGAGTAAATGCGCAACTGGAAAAACTGATGGGGAGTAATGTAGTGCATCTCACTGATCGAAAATATATGACGGAGCTACGACGACGCATCACCGAAGATTTCGAAAATATGTTGATGAAACGCATTCACCATCGAAAGGTATTGTTAAATTGAACCATTTTTTAATCAAATTACAAACACAAAATTCGTAAGAAATCAAATATAACACGCAATTTCTACTAATAGCATTGCTCTTCCACCATAGACACATTTTATTTTTCGTACTTTTCAGTTACTTCTCTGCAACTTATTACTATTCCATTTGAATTATTCGAAACACCATTATTTCCTTTTATCTTATACTGTTGGTTGAAAATAATAAAGCCATAAAAATTGTATAAGAATCCAGTAATATAAAAAATACCACAAACATGTTTAATGGTTGATGAGAAACGTGGTTCAACGACCGAATCGAAAATTACCCAAAAAAAACAATCCCGAAAAACGTCAAACGGAATGAAAGCATGTGGTATTCGTGACGACGCCTGAAATTCCAGTTGTAGAAAGTGAAACGTCGACATGACTAGAAAAAGAAGCAGTATCTTTTGGACGTGTGTATAATCGATTTTTGGCAATCAGTTCAAAAATATGAGCGGGACGAAATCCGTCGCGCATATGATTCTCTTTTAATATTGAATAAATGGTTGGCTTTGAGTGCAGATAGAGCAAGCAGACAAGCAACCAACCAATCAACTTGTCATAACTACTGCACGTGTGTGCAAACATTATATAAAATATTTTTTTTCGCCCCTAATATGTGAGTGCTTTTTTTACGGCAGTTGTCACGGCAGCTTCTGCCGTTAAATTCAGACATTACAAAAGTGAATCTGATCATCTGAAATCACAGACACGACAAGATTGTGTTCTATGCTTTTTTCATTTCTCAAAAACGACAAAGCGATAGAAATGGCGCGAAGTTTGTCGAGTAGTCATTCGATAGCCAACGCTTGACGCTCGAAACATTTATTTTGATATATTAAAAACAACACGTCGTAAAACCGACGCGCTTCTGTTTTGCACAAGCAAATCCTTTTCACGCTCTATTTATGCAAAGAAATGTGGAAAACGGAGTGTCAATTCATTTCTAGTCTGTGAAAATTGGAAATAAACAGGTTTCAAATAACAACGTCGGGATCATCTACCCGTGCGTTCAACAACGCCTTCAGATATTTAAAAAATTTCACATCGCAATTCACAACATAAAAACTGACATTATTGCTGTTTCAACACGAAGCTTTGTGTCTTTACGGAATAAACAAAATAGGTTTTCGTGACTTTTGAAATGACACTTAATAATTTTACGTTGAGTGCGGTTCTGCGAACAGCTCTGAAAAACCCTCTGTGTCACCGATTTTTGTTTGCGCTTCACGTAGGGCTCGTTTGTTTTGACAAACGTGATAATTTGAACAATGACACAAATTGAATTCACAACCCAGCATCTAATACGTCGATCGTATCACATTTACCGGTTGCATTCCCTCTGTATCCATCCCACGCAACTGACGGTGTATTCACTATACATGTAGTACACTTTGATTATTTTTGTGCTTCAAGTAACTAATTATAATGTTTCTATTTAACAAATGAATGGACGTCTATCAATCATTGTTTTCAAGGGGCTTGAACAAATTACCTCAGTTCCACCTTTTTTCTTTAATATTTCCGTAGAAATTCAATACACAGCAATCATATAATTTGGATTTTGTGTTTGACAGCTTTTCGCGACATCGTATGAGTTTTAACATTTTTTTCAATTCCTACCAACGCCGTATCTTCACACAATTTTAATTTCAATGTGTATTGCATGCGAATGACTTGAACGCGTCGTCGCGACTTGAAAAATCCCATCCCCTAGAAGCATGCTTTACGCACATTTTTGTTTTGTTTTGTCGATTTTCTTTTGTCACTTTTTTTGTTTCATTTTCACAAATAGCAAGAAGAAATAGAACGGCAAATGAAATTAGTTTTACACGGTCTATATAATTCACGGAATGTTCCGAGAAATTTGATTTCCGCTCACAGTGTAGTGTTGGTAATGAATGTTTTTCATTTTTCATGCCTAATGAAATGAAATTACAATTATTGAATCATTGTGTGTGAATCTATTTTGAATTCAGGCCGAAGAGATACAGCGGCAAAGAGTGTTGTTGATGGAAGGAAAGCTACCGAAATGTCCAAAAGAACTCCGCAATCATCCCGTTCTGATTATGAATGAATCTACAAATAATTTTGTGATAAAACGAAGAGCAAAAGTAAGTATGATGAGAGAATTATAGTGATTCTATGTGAAAACATCCTTGCTAGGGGGATTTCTCACACAAAAAGTTTGAGCAAATGTGCAAAAAATTTCTATTATTTCTTCTTTTTTATTGAAATTGTATGAAATGTACTGAAATGACGATTTTGCTTGAATAAAAGTGTTCTGGAAGTGGGTTTTGGTGGATCCTCAGGATGGACCAGATCCGGTTTGACATGGCCCTGGCCCATCCTGAAGATTCACTTCCAGAACCGGGAGCAGTTCTGAACGATCCTTGAGATCCGCCAAAACCCACTTCCAGAACAATTTCATTGAATTCAAAAGTTCAGTGTAAATGTACATTTATTTACACGAATTGACAAAAATTGATCGAATCCGACCGAATTGAAGAAATTTTTCAAAATTTATAAGAATTCATTCATTTTTTTCGTGAGAAATCCCCCTACCATCCTTGCACCAAATTGTAATACTCCGAAAATGGTTTTGGTTATCAACAATACGAATTGTGAAAATTTCGTTCTAATTCAGTTAAAAACGGAGCGTGAACGTGTTTCCGAACGAATGGTTCGATTAGGCAAAAAATGGGAGGCAGAGCATATACTGTGGGAGGAAAAGGAGCGTCAAAACGAAGTCGAAATGAAAATAAGAGAAATGGAACTGTTGAAAGCCGACCAAAGCTATGTGGAGAAGCTTGAAAGTGCTGAGAGTCGGAAAGTACTAGAGAAATGTTTCCGAAAAAATGAAATGAATATGACGGATTTCCTGGCAAAAGAGAGAATATTGATGCTGAATCGTTTAAAGCCCAAAGAGAAGAAGTTCGTACCATTTACAAAGGATCTCAGAGTCGTTGATGCTAAGTTTGTATCACACATATTTCAAACTTTATCGAAAGTGTTAAATGCTAATAACGTGAAAATATTTGCTAAAGGCGCCGGATGAGCGAAGCGTCCATTTCGAAGTTGAAATCGATTGTTGCGAAAGTTAGGACTTCAGAGACTGGTGGAACGTTGGAAAGTGAACCTGAACAGTCAGACGATACGCCCAGAGGCAAAGATGAGGTCGGTCAAGCGGATAGCGACACTGCCAGTCAAGCTAGTACCAAATCCAAGAAGGCAAAGGTAGGCTAAATCTTATTTAGCTTATCATAATCCGAATTTGTGGTTTTTAATACTTTGTGCTCAGCAGGGCAAGGGATTATTCTCATTCTTCAAGTCAAAATCGTCAAAAGATAAGAAGGCAATAGCTCCAACTATATCGCAAGAGGAAAGCCCAGAAAAGACAAAGAGCGCGACAAGTGACGATGATATTGAAAATTTACCAGTAAAAGACGTTTATGTAGATCCTGTGATAGACAGACTGAAAAAGGCAAAGGTACGTGTTTGATAAACAAAACATTTGATAGACAAAATAAAGTCAATAATATGTATGAATTTCCTCCTTTATAGAATGTCAAAGAATTGTATAATGTGGCTGAAAAAATTGTCGGTGTGAATATTGAGAACATACTAGACAAGAGCAAGAGCGGTGAAGCTGAAGAGCCTGCAGCTTAAGAAGTTTGTCTCTCAAATTTGTCATTGTTACAGATCGAAAATAATCTGGGAATTGCGGAAACTAAAATTTTGGTCCAGATGCAATTAAAATGATTTCAATAAAATAAATCAGAAAACTTTCATTTGATCAATGTTTATATGCTTAACATACATTTTCCATATTAACGTTCAATTCCCTTTATTTTTGACATGTACAAAATCATTCATAGAGCTATAGACGTGATTCAAGTGTTTGTCTCACTTGACCACTCATTTTCGGCATGTCTGTATATGGTCATCACCGAAATGTAATTAAAACTCCAGCCTTTATTTCCGACAAAAAAAATGCATAAATCGATTTCAAATTGTTTTGCTTTTAATTGCTATTCGTTTCGATGTGGTCGCGCGCATTGAGTGAATACTTGAAAACGAATAAAAACCGGAGACACCAATAAATTACAAACCAGCTATGTGAATGGCAACATTCGTTCGACGTGTTCACCTGTCCACTCCAATATCTATTGTCGTTGAAAGCGAATAATTGTGTTGAAAGCCTATAAGTTATGGGCTATAACTTCAATGCATGGCCATAAGAAGAAATTCACTGACTCCAATGAATTGGTTTATGTAAATAGGAGAAAACCAAATATTTAGCGTATTTCGCCCAAAATTACATTGAGAATTCATCTATTCTTGTATAAAACCAACTTGTTAGTTTGATTAATAATTCATAAGCTCCTCCCAGTTGTTGATTAAAACCAAAATTCGGAGCCACACAACATCCACGCAGAATTATCAGTTAATGGCACGCGACGGATGAGTATTGATTTTGCTACCATTCGAAATGAATGGGATAGACTTGGAAACTGCATACAATTCATACATTATTGGATATTACCTTTTGCATGGAGAAAATTTCATCATGGAATACCACGAATAACTATTACTTTAATAACTATCGCTTTTTTAAAGCAAATAATTAATAAAACCGAAAGAAAAAAATTTCTCATCGCTTTGCAGTTTCCCCCCCATGGAGACGGTATTCCTAAGTTAGGAATCCCAACTATCCAGAAGCGCATCATCATAATATTTTGGCCATAGATTATCCACTTCATTTACAAAAGCAGAACTGAAGTGTTGGAAAATTGAAAAATCAATTTCGTCCATTAATTGATACAAAAGGAGCAGATGCGTATTCCAAATTCATGCGAACAAATGACGTATTAATAATAGATCATTTGTAAAGACTCGAATACAGTTTTAGCACTGAAATTGAAAGCTAACTCAATTTGTGACGTTTCTTACTCGATTTAGAATCACGCATGAATAGCAAATTATTTTTGATCAGTCAAAAATAGAAAAAGCTATTACGTTATCAAAGTAGAAAAAACAAGAGAAAAAAAGAATCCCCGAACAAGGCATTTTCATTCTTTACTGACATGTTTCAGGGGAAAATATGAACGGAGAGAGCTTCACCATCAAGCTTTCGGTGAACAAACTGTTGATGCACGACTCCCATCCACTCTACAGCAAACAACCATGCGTTATCACCGATTCGTTGAGGAAATTTTCCGTATAAAAGCCAAGAGCTTCAAACCATTTCGATCAGATATTTCAACAAGTGGTCGCCGTGCAAAACAGCCCGAGTGGTAAAGTCAGACTGCTCCTGCTAAGTGAAAGTGCTAAATTTGAACAAACACATTCAGTTTATTCAGTGCAAATACCGTGGTCAATATTATGGTTTTTTCATGTTGTGATCAAGTTTTCTGGCGTTGAAATTTTTTTCCAAATAAAATCATTTACGAGAACATCAATATATTTTTTATTCAAAAAAGCCAAAAAAGAAAATCGGATTTTCCGCCAAAACTTAAATTCAATCAACGAGGTGAGGATATTTTTGAAACAAAGAAAAAAATTGTTGTTTCAGAAGTGCAGTGCTTCAGTGTTTCCTTTTCGGCTCTATGAAATTAACAGTAAATGAAATTAAGTTTTGCGCTAAATTAACGAATAAACCTATGATTATTTAGTTGTGAATTTAACAAATCGTGCAATCTCAAATCGAGTTCAAGTTCATCGTTGAATTTTCTATTTTTTTCTATTGCATCAGGAATATTGATGGTTTTCTACTGATTTATTTTTAGAACGAGATAAAAAAAAATATTTGCTAAACGTCTTTCTGTTTTGCTTAAAATGAAGCCAAAATTCTGATCACAAAATATATCATGAAAGCATATTTTCATTTCCATCATAGAAAATATTCTATGAATCGAAGGAAACAGTCGATGAAAGCGATTTTATTTTCAATTTGTAATGGAATGAAGGGGGAAAAATCACGTTTATTCAGCTTGCTTCTAATCGGCTTAAAAGTATAACACAAACTCAATATCATCTATGAACGGAACATACGAAATCCAACGTGTCAACAACCAGAAAGTTCTGCACAAAGCTTATAGGGATACATGCATATATGCATATTTTGAATCAAGGGTGTGTATGAAATACCAACAAGTCGATGACGACAACAACGACAGCGACAAAAATGTGCTATTTATATATTTGGATGCAAGTAACATTTACAACAAAGTCTACACGCGCTTTTTTCCTTAAGCGCAAACAACGTTACATGAATTTCTATGTTCATTCGCTTGGAATGATCTCATTTTGTGAGGGCATCAAATGTCAAACATTCTTGCTAATAAAATTACCAATAATTTATTGATCAAAATTGAAAATTGAACGCACTGTCTTTAAATATTTAATGGGAAAACATATTGCGTGTTCCCCTTTCACATTGTAGCTTTCCACGTTCAAGAGTGAGCAAAAGAAAACAGTGCGACCAACAGAGCAATCAGTGTGTTTCTATGTACATTGCACGTGTGCATGTGATGTGAATGGGCGGATATGTATGAAGAAAAGTAGCAGAATCAAGGAGAAATACTTCCAATAAACATTCCTCTTCCATCAAATGGCTTTTGTTATATTTGTTTTTTTTTTCTTATTCCTTTTTACGCTTCAACGCAAAAACTCAAGATTTCCACCATAGTTTTTTTTCCCTGATGTTCAATACAAACAAATGCGACCATCACGAGTACAGCACAACAAAAATCAATTTCAATTTCATTGTCAAATATCAATAACTCATGAGCACTTGACTCGAATTGCTCCCTCACTTACTCCCCACTTTCAATGCGTGAGCACATTGCAATAGACTAGTCAGTTAATTCCATATTGGATGCTATGTAGGAGTAAACTAATTCAAGTCCGTGTTAATTATTTTCTACAATTTTCGCAGACTCTATTCTACATCATTTGAGCATTACATCGAATTACGTCACAAATTCCCAATTAAAATTTCAATGCAATTCATCATAAATCAGACATTGTTCATCCATGGGGTCGATTGTCCAAATCAACACGAAAAATCTTTCCCCGCACTTTTCCCACGGATAAATGCTCATCTAACAAGTAATTAAGACTCTGCTCCGTAGCATGGGTGGCTACGGCATTTTGTTTTCTTTCTTCATGGAATAATTGAGTTTGTATGAGTGGCTCAAACATCATATCCATTCACTTGTCAAACAATTGGATTTCGTGAAGAGGGACACTTCATCTTGCGCTAACTCCATTAAGTATCATTTGCATGAAAAGCAAATTCTTTTCAAAGAAAAACACATCTTTGTTTTCGGCTATACCAATTCAGGGTAAATAAATTAAATAAATAACATTTGAATACTAATTTATATGTGAGGACATCCAGAAAAATGTTGATTTAGTGTCAATCACGCAAAATATAAATTACGCAGTAGGCTCTCCATAGATTTAAAATCCTTTTTTCAGTCCTATATCTATTCTGCAGATAAATAAAAGAAACAAAACACCAATACAATATTCAAAAGAAAAAAGATATCAGAGCTTAAAGGATATAGAACACTTCCAACCTTAAGACTTAGAGTGATTTAAAGAAATGTCAAAATTTGAGATGGGCATTTTGAAAATATGACCATAAAGAGTATCGAAAAATTCTTTTCGAATAATGTGGGATTTCGTGGGTGATAGAATGATGAGTGTGTGTGTCATTAGTCTAGTGAAATGAAGCATATTCGGCGATTACAAGAGCTAATAACATTTATAACAACCATAATAATATTTTCTAAAAACATTTGAAGTACGGATTTGGACTGTAATCTTTTCCGAGCAGAAAATGAAATGTCTAAGTGGATCTCAATACAGCAACCATATTGTATTAAACTGTGCATGAGTTTAATGAATAGTCCGACTTGTATTGATACCAGCAAAAACAAATGATGTCATCGAATAAAATTATTTCACCGTGTGAAATGGATATTAATGATAGTTTATTTTTATAACTTTGTGTTCATAACAGCCGATTTGTACGTTCATCAATTGATTTGGGATTCTACGCATTGACCGCATTTTTGGCGTGCTGTATAGACAAATTCAACGAAAAAAAAAACCATTCTTGCGAACATATTTGCAAGCATGGATTTATTGACTTTTCTGCGTGTAATTGTATTAGTTACAAATGGTGTTTATTGCTTCGTTCCCCGCGGCGACATGGAATCATCAGCAACCAAAGCAATAACACTTCCAATACAACCACAAATCGCTCAAGCCAATGACATATCCGTTTATGACCCCGGAGTCGGTGGTGAGTACACTTGATTAGATGAAGCAATTACGCATTTATAACTTGTGATGGCTCTTGTCACCCGACAGGAGATTATTTCATTTTCGGTCAGATGTTTCATAATTTATTAGTTGCATGGATTGTTATCTTGTCGGGTCCTGGATCCGAAACTTTCATCATCGTTTTTCCACAACGATTAAAATTCCACTATCCCCTATTATTTGACCATGATATTCAATTACGAAAAGTGGATGCTATATACAATAATTTGTTGTTCAAGACCATTATAGCCGGTGTAGGTGGCTCAATATAGTTGAGAGAAGTTCAAAGAACGCATCAGTTTGTACACCATTACTAATTCGCTTTCATATTTTCTCATCTCAGTTCAATTGCGTATGGAGTTCGATTTTACAGCTCTAAGCTAAATAACACCTTACATTTTGCAAGGGACGATAGCTTTATCAGTTTCATGTTCTGAGCAGTAGCTAAAATAAGTCAAAGTAATGTGATATTCTGTAATCGTCTCTCTCAAAAATGTGAAAAACGAGCGAACGACAAATACTTATGACATTTCCCAATGGACAAGACCGCCAGAAGGTGGTTGTGAAATTAGAAGAAGATGTCAAGTTATTGATGAAATGTGTTCTCTAACATTTCAACGTTAAAAAACAATGACCCAACACATAGATTTTGAGTGTTATAATTCGTATTGCATTTAATTAAGCCATTGCACTTTTATTACAGCGGACAGATTAGGCGAAGACATATTCAACAGTGAAGTGGAAGGCGATGTAGCTGATGATTTCACTGTGAATGGAAATAATTTGGATGTGAGTCGAATGCTTGAAAATCTTCGAGAAGAGATTAAATTCGATGAGAGCATTGCGATGAAGTCCGCCATGTTGCTTCGGCTACTTGAGGTATGTACAATACATTTGGAAATGGCTAAATAATGAGTTTTACCATATAGAAAAGTTTGTTTATCTGCGTATACATTAATTGGTCCCGTCGAAGAAAAGTTGTAAACACAGTAAGAAAAAGGAAAGACACTCATATTCTCTAAGAAGAAGACGAAGGACGTTTATATTTAAAAGATGATGGCAGTAATTTATGCAATGCATCTATTTTTAAAAATATTTTCTGGGAAACTTCTCTCGAAATCACATCATCTATGCTCCCAGTTTAAAAATATGCACAAATCCAATGCATAAATTATAAATACGTGTGACACTTTGGCTGTGACGACATTGTGGTAGTTTTCATTAAATCCCATAGATCTCGAACTAAGCCCGAAGCGTGTATCTCTTGTATATGCTACAAATAACATCATATCGAATTAAATTTATGAACGGTATTTTTTTCGGTTCGTTGTCGAATCAAACAATATGGATGTGTATCATACGTTCATGTATAGGAAACTTACGTACATACATATCCGCTTGAACGTAGGATGATATTTTGATATCAGCATGACTAAAGGTTGCATTGATAAAATATATTGTTTCTATATCGAATTAAAGGCAACATCGACAAAGTCTCCATTACCGGTTCTGTACGTCGAAGGTGAAGTTGATGATCCAGTAGATGATGATTTACCGATGAACAAGCGAAGTGGCCGATACTACCGACGGTATTTTTTTTTATTTTATATATTTATTACTAATCGTTTTGGAGAGAAAACAAATTGTCTTCATTGACTGAGTGTGGAACGAGCGATATTTTATGGTTGTTTTTCATCACTTTCCTTAGGTATCCGTGGAAACGACAAAACACACGGTCAAGAACGTAAGTTTCTACATTTTACAGTTTATCTTAGTAAGAATTGGTGACAGCCACTTATGTTTAGAAATGCAACGTCATGCGTTTATGTGGGTTTTTTCCGAACTTTTGAACTCAACTTGCTTAAATTACTAACGAATTGTGTACTGTACACTATGCAGCTCGCACAGTGCACACATAAATTAGATTATAGCTGATACATGGAAATTCCGATAATGGTTCTTTCTACAAAAAAGGACGATTTAAAAGTGAGGAAAAACAACCTTTGAGATGAGACAAAAAAATATTTCGTTCTGCAATGTCGTCAATGATGATGATAACTTTTTTTCTCACCACAATGATTGGATGTTACTGTTTCGATTAATTCCTGATTATCTTTGTTTGCCATTTCATATTTTCAAGAAGATACGAGTCTGAATCGAGGTACCTCTGCGTGCCGAGTCGTGAAGATGTATTCAAATTATTGGTGGGATTACATGAGAATCGAAATGGAAACAATCACAAAACAGTTCATTTTTGCAACCGAAAACGTCCCGCCAAGGCTATATTCACCAACATTCGATTTTTAGGATAAACATCCAGTCAAAGTTCCGTTATAGTTTTGAAATTGTTACGAAAAGTGTACGATGACCATGTGTGCGGAAAAAAAAATAAAGAGACAGAGCTTTCGTTTTACTTCATTTTGTTTGTAAACATTTATGTTTCATTTGTATTTTGACTAATGTTTTTGAAAAGTAAACACAAATATTCTAATGTATTCAAACTCTATACAGCTTTCAAAACTAAAATAATTGTAACTAAATAAACTCAATGTGAAAATATATCTAAAAAAAATATGTATTAAAACAGTTATAAAAAGTTTGCTGTAGGAATTTCTTGTCGCGCAGTTAAAAAAATATATATGAACTATTTGTAATGCCGAACAAATCAATTGCAAATGAAATTGATTTCGGCAACAATTTTATCTTATCATATTCAAAATTTATCGCACATTTGATCAATATTAATCTATTTAAATTTATTCAAATAAAAACTGAACAACTCAAAACCTGTACGAAAAATAAATTTGAAATGAAATCGATAGGACGGATAGTGTTGCAAATGATTTGGAGCCATTTCAAATGTGTTGAGACGTAAAAAAAAAACAAGGGAATAATCATTCACTATTTTCGAGGGAAGTACATTTACATTGCAATTAACCACATCAACCATTCCAAATCTTTTCATCGGGAGCAGAAAAATAAAATTAAAATTATACATAATTCAAATGAAAACCATACCACATAGATTTATTATCAGTTGTTGTAAATACATTTTCGACATTAGTCTACTTCTAGGATGTTTTTTATTCATTTCAACTCAACCATGATTTCGAATGCAAATCGATCTAGCCAAAAGTTCTTGATTTGTATTATGGTTCAACCAAGAGATGTAGTTGAGTGAACATCGCCGTGGGTCGTTCATGTGTACTAATTGACTTTTTACCGGCAACGTTTGAATTGCCACCGATCTGTATGGGCATGCTTCTTGAGTAATCTCTAAAATGAAACCCTGAATGCCACCAAATCGTAGTGTATTGGCAAACCGGATCGGTTTTGGCGATGGTCCCCATTGTGTGAAGTATATGGTGCCACTTTTGCAGCCACAAAAACGCCGACCGTCAATTTCCACAAAACTGTGAGTGCATTGACGCTGTTGCCAGTCACCCAAAAGGAAATATTTGAAGTCAATTCGCAGACGACAAATATTTGGGTGGATTCGTTCGATGAAAAATAAACAATCGTTGGGGAATGGTACGTTCGGAAAACCTGGACTTATTAGGTAAAACTTTTGCTGATTGTATACGTTAGTACAGCAGCTCGGGAGCGGCGACACTACCGGCAGCGCTAGTGGTGATGGATAAAATGAAGATGATGGCCAAGCCGCATGTTGCTGTGTTTGACTACTGCAGATTGGTTTTACAATAGTGGTCTCTGGAACACTTTCCACTTCGGCGTTTGCTACTACATTTTCTAATGTTGATGTTATTGGAACGACATTATTATTTTGTCTTTGCACTGGAAAGATTTGAGTCACGGGTAATAAATGGGGCTTAGAGGATGGAATGTTTATCACTGAATGTGTCGATGATTCACTGAAACTACCATCATCAATTGAATTATTCAAGGAGCACGGCAGCCGAGTCACGAGCAATTCAAAGCCTTTATTTTCGATTGTTTCATCACTTATGAATTTAATTCGAAGTGTACCATTTATGGCCTTGTACTTCATAATTCCAATAACTTGCCCGCACAAAACTTCATCAGTTCCAATGAGTACTTTATCTTTCGAACAACTAAGCGATGACTCTATTTGGAAATCTAAAAATTGAATGTGAAACTCGTTGGTGCACACAAAAGGTGAGTAGAATACATATTCACAGTTTTCGTTCTTGGGATATTTGTTTGGATAACGTGGTGATTTAATTACGACTTGCTTATTGCGAAAAATGCCACCACAAAAATCACTGCTCAACTCATTTCGAGACCATTTCCTCGGAAAATTTGCACTTTTGATCTGATGAATTCCAATCGTGTATGAATCACTTTGACTTAAGACGTAATCGAAGGCCGTAACCATCACTAATAGCAGCAAAATAAAATCGAAAGTGCGTTTGAACATGTAACCCATTTTTTCTGGATATCTTTTTACGGTGAACCGCTGCGTATTTTTCACTTCTTCAGTCTTTGGAATGCAATCGGAAACTGACATTGATGACATCAGAAAGTGTTTTTTGTGCAGTGACACACACCTTAAATTCATATTCACTGTGCTATTTCTTTTAGTTTGATGTCGAAGCTGTGATTTATCAGTAAGTCACTCATTCCATTCACGCATAGATGAATGGGAAATTGACAGAAAGCATAAGCAGAAGTGAATTACTTGAGTCAATAAGTTATTGACTCGGAGCACGGTCGCACAGCTAATTTGTTTATTTAAAGCAAACGCATGAAATGAACACACACCTCTCGACCGTAGAGAAAAGAAAAGAAGTCGAATGAACAATGGAACCCACACAAACCTATAAACACGAATAGTACAGTTTTATCTTATCACATGTATACGAATAAATACACAAATCAATGGGCAATATTGTGTTTTTTTGTCTGTGTAACCAATATGTTGGCAGAAAAATGGAGATGAAATGCAATTGGAGTCTCCAACATTCAATAATTGAACGCTTCGTGTACTCTTGGCCCATTAACATTTCAATTTGCGGGGAAATTCATTTCCAAATCAATTCCATGACTTTCGCTCAATTTATACACCGTGCGCCTGAGCACATTTTAACGGAAATTATTTTAATTTGATTGCTGTTGTTTTTGTTTTTGTTGTTGTTGTCAACATCGCCGATGTCGTCGTCGTTGTTGCTATATTTTCACGAACTTTCTCGGCGCTCTATAATAAATTTCATATCAACAGAACGTTCCACGCCGCACCAAATGGACAGTACTTAGTTTAAAGATGTGTTTTGCTTTGTGTTTTATTCCTAAAATTTAAATAATACATATCTCACTTATTTCTTAAGTATTATAATTCACTGAAAAACGCGATTCATCAGACTAATACTAGAACTCTTTGTTGAAAATGTTTTAAAACTACATTTCTTTTCTCCAGTAAAATATTACACCTAAAAAGAGCCGCACGAGCATTTTCACAATTTCGATTTTAGGTTGACGTCAACACGCGCCAGTTGAGAAAATATGTTGCCGTTTGGCTTATCGACCGGATGATAGACTTCCTTGTTTTCACCTTGAATAACTTTTGGGAATTTACTCATGTCGAATGGATAATAGTGTATATTGGGCATTTCAATGTTGACAACAGCAATCTGGAGTAGATTGAAAAACAGAAAGCATACATAAAGTTAGTATTGAAATAACGGAAAATTTCACCAGTTTGGTTTGAAAAAGGAGAAATGAAAGCCAACGAACTGTTTACCTGTTGGATTGCAGCTAGGATGTCTTTTTGTGAGAGGTAAATTGTATTTTGAACACTTGGAGATGGGACACCATCCACTGGATCACCGGCAAAGTTTTTCAGAATGATTTCTTTCACCGTCGACCAAACGTCATCGAAATTTATGTCCGTTATGTTCAAATATTCCCAGCAGCAGCTAACACTCGTACTAAATAAGCGATCCTCCATGTCCGGCAGTGAACGATATTCATCATCGACGAAGTCCACAAAGGAGGAGCGTGTCGTTTTCAATACTCTCATGTTTTTCAGTCCGCTAATAATCGTGGGGCGTAGATCTAAGCGAAAGAAAGACGAATGTAATGAAAATTCTGGAATTGATGCCTAAAAAAACTAAATTTTTCAAGAAATTGACACTGCATTCAAAAGAATGAAGCGAAAGGCGTAAGAGAGATAGAGATAGAGCAGCTGTTCTATGAATAGGTCATTTGAAAAAAAAAAACATCAACGGCGTGCACACTATCATTCAACTTGTTTAAATTGATAAACGTTTGTCTACATTAAACGCATACAAAAGTCTCAATTTTCTCTCTCTGCCTCAAAATAAATTTTATTTTTCTTTTAATCGTACAAGTACATCGCAACAGAAGCTCCAGAAAAAAAATCGCCGACAAATCAATTTGAATGAATAATCGCTTAATGTGCACAATTTTTATAATTCACTTTTGAAATACTTCGTTCAAGTGATAAGCGATTTCCGAATACCGGTTCAAACCAGATTCTTGAACAATTTTATGTATAATATGGTCAAAGGTTAGCAAAACAATCCGTGTCAATTGTTCATTATACGAGCGAACAAAAAAATACACGCTGTTTTTTTTCTAAAGTATTCGTTTTCCTCTTCTGCTGAGCAGTGTACTTACCACGTTGATGAATAACGTCGCAATAGCGATTGGCAACTGGTGTGAAAAGGAACGCATGATTATGTAGTTTTTCCTTGTTTTGGGCATTCGTATATTGTATCCTTTCCCACGGATATTCTTCCACGTGTACGTGCGCCTCCTTTACATGCCGATATTTCGATAGAAAATGTCTGGTTAATGTTAGGGCAAAATCTTCGGGTGATTTAACACCAAACTTTTTTGCCAATAGATAAACGGTGTTCTTCTGTGAATCCGTCGCAATAATGTCCGAGTTGTCACCTAAATCAAAATACAAAGGGGGTATAGGAGATCAGTATGGATTGTATTAGCGCTCTAATTCACTATTTATATGATAATTTAATAAAGACATTTGCATAATTCGCATATTGTAGGACGTCCACCACGTCACTAACGTGTCCCATACTGGAGGATTTTCGTTTATTGCGAGTCCACGAATTTGTACATTTATTATTGCTTGTCGTGCATTTAGCACCAGCGATAATCACTCGACTATTTCAATCACTTTGCACGAAATCAATATTCAAATTGAGTCTCGATTGCGTTAGAAAAGGGCAGCAAGTAATAAAATGATTCATCTAACATTTGCGCTATATAATTGAGTCGCTGAGCATAAAAATGAAAATACAGATCTGTTACAGCAACAGCCGAACATAAAATATTGTTCCCCAAAAACTTTACATGAATTTCTATCCAACGCGAGTGTAACATGAGTTGCATTAGAAACAGTATTAGCTCATGTTACACTCGCGTTGGATAGAAATTCATGTAACGTTTTTAGGGAACAATATTTTATGTTCGGTTGTTGCTGTAACAGATCTGTATTCCCATTTTTATGCTCAGCGACACAATTTTACTTGAATCAATACAGAAAACCAACAAAAAAATCAACACACAAAATGCCATTTAATCAGTTTCTTATATGGAACGTTCAAGATTCAGTAATTTCCTACTCTGATTTGCGTTAACATTGAAATTTCCTTTATTTCGTCTCGTAGTTGACACTGTTATACAAGTTTTTTTTGTAGCTCAGCAGACAGAAGCAGCCGGCATTCGAGATTCGACGTATGATCAATACAAACTATGTAAAATTCAATTCACGCACCCGATAAATGATGATAATATAAAGGGCAATCAGTACAAATGCATTTTCATTTTCAAACGAACTGTTCGAAGTCTAGCTTGAGAAAAAATTGGCTTAAGCCGGTTTTACCGCAATGCGACTACTTAAATTTTGAAATTTGTCTGGTTCGAATACAATGAAGAAATCGAAATGAAAACAAATAAATATATTTCCAAATATAGCAGCATGCAAGGTAAATGCTCTTCTATTCGATTTCGATATGGATGCAAAATGCGAACAAAGTCCATTACTGATATGCATGCGTGAGAATTTACGTTGCTTTTACATTTCAACTATTTCATATTTGAGTTCAACACAATGAAATGAGTGTCATTGTGCCACGTTTATTTCGTTTTACAAAAGTCAAATTGATAGGATGTTTGTAGTAGGCTGCCTGCATATTGCCTTTTCTTTCTATCTTTCGTTTTGATAACTCCAGTAAATGCTCTTGACTGTTGTATTTTTTTTACTCTGGTGTTCGAGAAAATCGCTTTCATTGATTGTAATACGAGTAATCCCGTCTGTGTTTTGACTAAATACCATTATGAGTAATCGTCGAATTGTAAGCATCAAACCAAATTGAAAAAAAAAATCAACGCCGTAAAATAAAATCAAACAAATGAGAATAAGAAGGTGAAATACACAGCCACAGTTTGATTTCACTCAAAGGAATCAAAACAAACCAACAGCGGGTTTTCTATATTTGAAAGAGGATTATAGCGAATTGGCCCACATTTGAAAGGGGATTATAGCGGACATTTAGTAGGTCACGCTGAAGAGCGGCTAATAATGCGAATTAAGCTTATAATGACTTTGAGGAAACTGTTCTTATTGTTTGCATTTAAATAGATCATAATGAGGAGCTCATTCACGGAAAATAAGCTAGTTGCCATATGTGAAAAACTGTAAGCTATTTATGCCGATAGCATCGTTAAACTATTTATGGAAATTGGTGCGTTGGTTTAATCGTAAAAAAATGAAATTTTCATAGCTACCATTCAAGTAATCCTTTTTGCTGTAGAGTTTTAAATGCGTGTTGACTTCGAACTCTTTAATATGGTGAACGTTGCCTTCGCGTCGAACATGTAAAATTTTTACATGATCTTTGCCATAGCCTGTGTCACTAATCTCGAATTCCGTGCTCCTCGTGTTCAAGATTGAGGATTTCAGCGACTGCTCAAAGGCACTTGTTAATTTTCTTGGAAACATTTTTTGTTTTAGTTTGGTTTCTTTCTATTAAAATTAACTTTCCAGAATTTTATTTTTCAAAGTACGCGATTTTTTTTTTTTTTCCTAGTTTGAAAGTTGTTTTTTCTTCAAAAATTCGAAATTTCACACGGAATATTACGACTATTTGATTTTGCAAAAGAAAAGCTATAATTGAAATGGGTGTTCACGACACAGATTCAATTCCAACTGAATAAGTCACATGCTGGCGAAGCGCTTTTAAATTTGAATTTTTGATTGATAAGAAGAGATGACTCGTTGATCTACACACTTCTTTTCCCTACATGTAATCTTTTTGCGGCTCAGTTTATTGAATGCGAGATTTGATTTCATAATTAATTCCAGTTGAATATGTATCAGTTTATTTGAAAGTGATTTTTCATAGAACCGTGTCATCGCCATACAACCGTTATCAGTGACGAGCGTGCAAAGTGCTCCAGCAATGTGTTGGTTTGATGTGGAAGAAAAGTGTAATTCCATTAGTCGACGTACGCCAATATGGCAAACATTGTTGTTCAAATGTAATGCATTTGGAAGTGGTTTGCATTTTAAACAACTAACGGATTTTGTGTCATCACTTTTTGTGTGCAACTTGCCCATGGGGATAAGAATTTTGAACTTTTTTGCGCCTCAAGCACCAATACAGGAAAATGATAATGAACTACATTTTAATCTAAATGCAAATAACTTTAAATGACATTTATTTCCCCGTTGGTCTCCCAATGAAGAATATTTTAACACTATCAAATGTCTTACTAGAATCTTTTATGGCCATTGTCTTTACCAATGTCAATGTCGATGTCACATCTATAATTCTTTTGACTTGCAAAAATAATAATTATCATTCTAGTTCTATATCAGTGATTAAGCAAAAACAATCGCGTGTTTTCCTTGTTTATCAATCGTTTTTTCGACCACCACGGAGTGGAATTATTTTGTTCAGATTTTTTCCGTCAATCTCTTTCTCTCTCGCTTTTTCTGTGTCTTTTACTTTCTGATCTGTTAGAATAATCCACGGAATATGACGTATTCATTTGTCATGTTTAATCGCGTCGATTGTTTGTTTACTACATGCAAAGTATTATTTTGCGTAAATCCGAAATTTGCCCTTCGCTTCGTTTTATTTTGCGATAAAATTGGCACGGGTATAAAATCAGCATCCATACTTCTGACATCTTTCTGTTAAATTCCATATATAGTCCAAACAGGTATTAAAATTCAGTACGAATTCAATGAAACAATTACTGGGGTCATGCAATTATGCTAGCTCAATGCATAGATGCACCATATTCATGCATGAAATTGCTTCTAATTAACAGAGTGAAATAATCGAATGACCAGTGTAATACAAACAAAGGGACAGGCATTTCTAGAGTGGCAGCATTTTTGTTGCCAGTAAATCATGGCAGTGATAAAAGTGTTTTACCGCAACTAATGACTAATGATCATTTACGTATCAAAATGGTTATAAAATATCCACACACGAAGATGTCTAATAAACCACGTGAAGAATATTTATAACATTTTATCTAAGTCATAGCTTAATATGGCTTGCTTGTACAAAGATAAGATCCCCTATGAATTAGCAGCAATAATACCAAATAAAGTTTATAATACGTGTGCGTTGAGTTTGAAACAAGGCGAGATTTTAAAGTGTGTTTTGACTACCAAATAAAGACTATATAATGGTGTATATGCAAACAAAAATGAACAACAAATAACTTTGAAATTATAACCTGAAAATTGTGCAATGCAGTGATACTCATTTGACAAACAAAAAATAAGTTTCTATAATAATATTTTCACAGTTCAGTTGACGTATTAACTGTCTGAATTTATATTCATGGGCAGAACTGTTCATTCATTGTTTTCGAAACTAGGAAAACCGTCGTAAATAACGTTTGTTTGGTTGGATTCTGGTGAAAAAATGTATACGGTCACCCCACTGAATTACTGTTATGTGAAGAGAGCTTTTACGCGCTTTAGATGCTCCATTTGTGACAAACAAACTTTGTGACTATTCGAAAAAAGTGATAAATGCGATTTTTGGCACTGAATTCTGTGCTCTAGAAAACAGACCAAACGCGATTCTATGTTTACAATTTTTCAAAATTAAATAGTAATTTACAGTGTTGAATGTTGTAATAAAAAGTCAAGTCAACACCTAAAGGAGGTAGTAAAAAAATTGTTTCTCTTACAAATGGCGTTCACTATTCGTTCCCAGTATTGGGAATAATATTGAGTCACGTGGGGTCAGTCATTTGTTGTAAACAGATGCGATTTCAGTATGTATTATTCCATTTGCGCTTCAAACAAACATTCTGATACACGCGTCACATGTATAATCCGATAAACAAAGGAAAGGATGAGTGCAAACAATTTTGCAACGTAATTTAATGTGGTTTTTTGGTAAATAAATGAAAAATCAGCTGAGACCGTAAGCTGAGATGCGTTCTTACAACAAGCAACAAAAAATATTATTAGTTACGATCCAACTGCAGACTATAGGGCTATATTTAACCGCCATGGAAAAATTATTGAGAGAAATATCTATTTTCGAATATTGAACGCTTTCTTTCAAAAACTACGCAATATTCTAAGTGAATGAACATATGGAACTAAGCCAAATCGCAAATAAATCAGCTTTTGTAGGTATTTAAACTGTATAAATATGTAACCAGCGTATATGAGCTTTGGTGGTGAACCATGTTATGATGCTTACGATTTTTCTGATTTGACTTCTTGAAATTCGACAAACACCTCTCATATGTATATTTTGGCATAGAGCCATTTGAAAGCAAAAACCATAAGACAGAAGTTCACACTCAGACAAGTCACATCATTTTTAATCATAGATCAATGAACTCATTTTTAAACTTCAATTGTCCATCTAAGCAACATCTGCTTGAATTCTATACAACTAATAATGATGTCCAATCGACATATGACATAGTCATTTTCATTTATTTTTTCATTCCATTGCAACTCGTCAAGAGAAATTGAAGGAAAAAACCTCATGAAAAAACGAAACGGATTCCTTGTTTGTGTACGTGACGCCAATAATTTCACTGCATCCTTTAGTCCCGATAGCCTTCGAATCGAATGGTGTGTGCGAGAGTGTATAACGAAAAACGTGTTCGGTTGTTGGTTAAACTGAAATGCAACGTAAACTTCGTCTATGAGATCGGTAGTCAGTTCGTCTCGTTGTTTATATTTTTTACTAACCAAAGCGAAAGCAGTGACTGTTTAAACGAACTAGTCTTTTGCGTTTTTGTTTTCCCATGCGTTCATTGCCTCGTGACTGTTCATTTACTACATTCAAATAATTCATACTCAAACGACTGAAACACAATAAAGGATACTCTTCAATTTCAGAAAAACAGTTTAAAACGGACAGTTGTGGAGGAAACATTGAAAATCTACAAGTCTTAAGAAGAAGATTTTTTTTCAAAATTATTCGATATTATTGTGCGATCATCAGTGATTTTTTAAAGAAAAAAGAGCAATATCATACACGGAGGTTTTTTAAGGTAAAATTTGAATACATTATTCCATGAAGAAAAATTAAATTTTAATAACTTTACTCTAAAAATGTAATTCTAACTATTTCGCAAAATTTGTTCGTGAAATCCTTCGACGAAAACATTATTATGACTGGATTGTGAATGTTCAACAGATTTTTATATTCGCCAGAAATTAGACCAGAAAGTGACTGTTTGTTCGAAATTTTCGAAAAATAGATGTTTTTTGGTATTTTCCATTGTACTTTCCATTTGAGTTATCGTTGTTTGGACATACTTTCTATAAATGATGATAAGACAAAAGTCATCTTTTCTTGCGAAAAATGAAAAAAAAATGTAAAAAAAGATCCTTTTGTCTGTCGAAGAGACGCAATAGACTTTCGAAATCGTGTTACACTTATAATATGTAGCCTTTTCCGAATGATCTGTGTGTACGGCCATACGGTTCGTCAGTTCCCAAATGAATAAAAATAAAATATAAACACAAACACGAATTTGTTGTGCGAACTTTCTTCGCAATACCGTTTTGCCTCACCTTTGTAAAAATCTACATCGCAACGGCAACGACGCATCGACGCTTGTGTTAGTAAATTATTTCTGGCATGAAAAATCGTCTCGCACTCAGTTGACAAACAGCGTTTGAAAGAAAATTACGCAGTATTTTTTCCTAATTGATAATTGCGAAAATTTAATCATATCTGAAATAAAATGGATAGAGGTGAATATTTTTTTCGTGTACAGCGGAAAAGAAAAACGTATTGTTCACAAACGAGAATATTTGTTATTTGGTTTATTCGTTACATAATTTCGTTGAATTTTTATCGAAAAAGTGAATTCCATATACAATTGAATCATTGCAGTACGTTTGCTGAGTATGCCGACAGAGTGTGTGGCCAATCCCTTGCAGAGAGCCTTGGCTGATGCAATTATTTTGATGAAGCCTTTAGATGAAATCCGAATATTATTTGCATGTGGAGCAAAGGTGGACCTTAAAACTCTTGATATGGATTTAAAAACTATTCTGAACCATTTGTGATATTTGAAGGTAAATGAACCTGTCGCGCAAGGACTACGCCCATTACATTATGCTGTGTGGCAAAGACACATTGATGCAGTGCGGCTCTTGTTGGTGCGTGGTGCAGACATCAATGAAGTTGACGATTGTGGTTATAGCGCTTTACATTTGTGTAGTGAACACGGGTAAGCCCTGTGAAAAATCATGATTAACGTAAAAATAGAACAAATGTATCTAAAGTCAATTAACAAATGCTCGCCTTTCACCGGTCAGAACCGATGCTTAAATTTCATCAATTCGTTGCATTAATTATGTGTCTCGTTGCTAATGTTTGCATATTGTAAATTTTACTTTTATACGTTCGTTTATTTTCATTAGATATGTGGATATAGCAAAGCTTCTGATTGAAAATGGATCAAAGATCGACTTTAGAGAGCCCACTGACGAGCTTTACCCCCGTACTATGCTGTGTGATGAACCACTGAGGTTGGCGCTGAAAAATCGCAACTATGCTATGGCAAGGTTACTATTGGAACACGGAGCAGATCCGAATAAGCGTTATTTTCTGGGCGCCGAAATAAGTTTGGTAACTGAAAGTGAATCAATAGAGTTATTGCTTACATATGGCGCTAGTACCGAATCACGTGATCGTCAAGGTCTGACACCTTTGATGAGAGCATGTCGCTTTAACTATGGGACTGAACAAGTTTTAATGCTATTGAACCATGGTGCTGATGTAAATGCTATGACTGACCACAGAAATGACTATCGTACGGTACTGCATTATGCCGTGTTATCAGGGAGTATTACACTTGTCAATTTACTGTTGAAGCAAGGAGCAAAAACCGATCGATTGCCACCAGAAGGCGAATCCGATAAGCCAAATCCACTTCATCTAGCCATTCTCCGTGGAGATCCTGCGATTGTGCGCTGTTTGCTTGAAGCTGGTGCCGACATAAACAGAAGTAGCACCATTATTGGTTCGCCTCTGCACGTTGCCTGCGCTGACAATATTCCACACAGAGTAGAAATTATGAAGGTACGTATAATTAGTCTTTCGAGCCGAAATGTTTGGTCCAAAAATAATGAACACGAACACCCCATTTGTAGATGCTACTATCATATGGTGCTGACCCGAATGTACGAATACCCAGTGAGACCGGTGCATATTTACGGCCTTGTCTTGGAGAACTGCTTGCAAATAGTGATACAACAACCGTGGAAGAGTTACAACTTTTATTGAAGCATGGAGCCAGAGTGTGTATGCGAACTCAATTCAGAGACCCGGATGGTTTGTTAAATTGCTTAAAGAATGTCGCATCATATTCGCGAGTATTTGAAGTCCTATTGGAAACAGCCGAATGTTTTGACATCGCAATGATCAAGCGTAATCTTCACTTAACCGATAGCCAGAGGAAAAAGTTACTGCAAAAGGCGAAAACACCAATTCCATTAAAAGCGTTAGTCCGAAACTTTTTTCGGTCAACTTTTAAACGGACACTTCCTGAAAAAGTCCCATGCCTCTTTATACCTAGCACACTGCATAGCTATTTACTTTGTGAACGTCACTAAGGTTACGGCAAATTAATATTATCTTTCGATGAAATGTGATATGGTTAATAAAATTACTTTCATAACATTTGGATTTTGTATATTTAGAGATTATCTATGGTACACGGCATTAATTGGATTGATTTAGAAGCTTCTCTTTAAATGTGATAATTTTTATGTTTGAAAAATTGTCTTAAAATTTTACAGGCGACTATTTTTACAATAAAAAGAAATTATTAATATCCCGGAGAAATTGTTGTTTCATTCGCAGAGCAGTAGCACCTACAAATATGTTTGCGATATGAAAACAAAATCAGCTGTATGGAACCTAACCTCAAAGCAACTAAATATTTGACACATATCTGTCAACGTCATATTCACTGGAAATTAGATAAATATAACTTGTATGTTTTCATCATTTACAACACGCTGAAATTAGATTATTTCAAGCCAATTTTAAAGAAAATAACGATATCAAATTTTGATTTTTAACCTTATAATTCCAGTAATAGAACTTTGATGTGAACTTTAACGATTGATAAGGAGGCATACGCATTACAAAAACAGTGCAATCAAATTATGAACATAGATTGAGAAGCAATCCTTATGTCTATTGTAAAACAAAATTACCAAATTGATATTAATGGCGACAAAGTTTCGGTGAATGATAGCGATCAAATCAACGACACAATCTCTGGTAATTTTTCAGTTCGTTTCTTCTGTATCTCTCTCTCTCTCTCTCTCTTTTTAACACATAATAACATTTGTCTCAGTTTTGTAATCCCACACCATACAAAACCCCAAATATATCACGGTTTCTTTTTTTTCTTTTTGGAAAAATAAAATTAAATTCGTATTGTTCCCCGACAACTTTGAATGTAACACATTTGAAAGTACAGAAAAAAGATGTTCTCTGATGCCAAACACAAAACAACTGTTCGTCTTTCTGTCTGTATTGAACAATAACAGTACACGTCAACAAATATGGCATCAAGTTTCTGCTGATTGTAACCTGTCAAATAACTTTTTTTTCAACATTCATTTAGGTATACCCGGGACAGTTAATACGCTCCACGATCAAACGATCGAGGAGAAAACAGTACCTCAGGTTTGTGATGCAGAAGACATAAAAAATGAAGAAGACAACAATAAGCCGAATACAGTGAACTTGATTGACATTTACTTGCTAAAACAAAACAGTATGGCTATTTATTATGGATGGCAAATCGTTTGCCTTATTATTTTCATTTTTACCGCATACGAAACATTACAAAGTGTGTAAGTATTCAACTTTTTTCTGTGACCATCATTTAGTCATTTTCATTTTCTCAACGGGTCTATCACTTCATTTAGTCTGCCAAAAGGTGAAAAATATCCAGAGCCGCAACGGTTTTTCTCTACTGATTCGTTCGTACAGGATTATCCGCATGGGAATTTAGGTGTGGTGCAGAAAAAAGTCGCCTTATCCGATTTATCGTTTGTTGTTTTTTATGCACCATGGTCAGCGGACAGCCAACATGCAAAACCAACCATCGAAACGATCTCAAAGAAATTCTATCGGGAAGCCAATTTTATGGCAATAAATTGCTGGCAACCTGACGGCGAGTGTCGTATGCAATACAAAAAAGTGATGTCATGGCCGGTTCTGATGGCTTATTCAAGGAATAACATTGCCGTACCATATAATGGACAGTGGACAGAGTCCGCATTAGCCAGATTCGTATATTTGATGATGAGACCTTTGCACCGAATTAGCCAACCAGAGCAATTGCTAGAGATAATTCATAACCATGATGCTGTTGTTACACTATTTGTAAATATGGACACAGGCCATACGTTCTACAATATTTTCCATCAAGCGGCAACAAAGTGGTTGGAAACAGATCCGGTTGGTGATGTGGCTTTTGTTGTTGTAACTGGCGAAACCATGAACCAGTTTGGAATTGAACGGGAGCCATCGCTACGTCTGTACCTGTGGAATCGCACTGTCGAATATGAGGATGAAGTGTGGAAAGCATCACTAATCCACAAGTGGATCGTTTCAAACAAACAACAAGTTACACAGTGGCTAGCACCACCTGGATCAAGGTCAAGGGAATTTGATGCGTTTGTCACAAAGGGGCCCGTTCTGGTTTTGTTTACACCACGCAATTTATGTGACTTCCCAAGCGATGCTTATGCAATGGTATAATGTTTTGTTATTATATCGAAATTCAAACGTTACAGTAATTTCTTCATTCTTACAGATCCGTCAAATTGGCTATGAATATTACAATTGCGCAAATGATGCATGGTTGAATGAAATGGGACGCACTTATATTTACAATCAACGAAAAATCAACATTAGGGATTATTATTTGCAAAAAAAGGAATGTGAATTATTAGCCAATTGGAAAAACTCGGTGGCTAACAAGTGTCCACCATTCGAACGACATTCATTTGTTGGCATTGGGAATTCATCAAAGATTCACTTCAATACTGTTAAAAGTAACAGCAAAGTGGATGGATACTGTGAAAAATTACCGGAATCCTATGAACAGATCTACGAAAAGTCGACATTCACTTTGAATGGATTGCCTATCTCAATTGTTGACACCAAAAATGACCTCCGATCATCTGAAAATATTTTCGCTGAATGGAAGGATATTCACTGTAAAATGATCAACCTTTCAAAGAAACTGCGATCGCAAATATTTCAAGATAAACTCTTGAAAAAGGTATTGACTTTACAATTTTGGTACTAATTAAAAATCGTCTTGAACATTGTTTCTTCTTCCCCTTAAAAAAAAACAGAACAACAACTCAAGTCAATTTGGCTTTCACAAGATCACTGGACTTGCATGCAAAACGAATAAAACTCTATCGTTCCTGGCAATGGATAGTCTAAACTACGGACTTGTCGCTGAAAAATTGGGCATTTCATTGAAAAATGTTGCACAAAACACGGCAGCTGTTATTATTGATGCACAGGTAATTGAAGTAACACAGTTTATCATTCGTATGCATCAAATGCTTATATTCGCTTTTATTTTAGGATGAATCTTCGTACGTGCTGAAAGACACATTATCAACAATAAATTTAATTGACTTCGTTTATAACTACACCATGCGTAAAGTATCACGTCATTTGCGACACGATCAAAATACAACACATTCACACTTTTATCGCTCTGTCAATAGTCAAAGTGACCAAAATTATCCAAATGTTGATAAAAAAATCACAAAACGGAAATTTGAGTCGATTGTTATACCAACCATATCTTCAGATAATTTTACAAATTTCCTCTCAGATCCGCATCGGGTTAGTGGCTTTTTTTTACATAGAAATGTTTAAATCCAAATATTCATTTTCTAATCCAAATATGTAAACATCATTGCAGACCGTGGCTGTGCTTTTCACATCATCACAATGTGCGTTTTGTACAATTTTTTCGGGTATTTTGTTGACTGTATCAAGAATATTGCGTGATGCGGACTACATAAAATTCGCTCGCATCGACAGTGATAAGAATGATTTACCTTGGCAGTATACAATGGAAACTATACCGGCTTTCATAGTTTTCAATAAGTAAGTTGACATTGTCGGCAATATTATTGCTGATTCCATTTCATGAACTCGCAAAAAATCTATGATTAAACTTTACTCAATGTTTATAGCAAATTGGAGAGTAGAAAATATCCGAGCGATATGGAGGTGACGGTACAGAATGTGTTGGGCTTTGTTTTATCAAATCTAAATAGATCGAATCGGTTGAGAGCTATTGCATCCATTGTGAAATATGGGAATCAACAAAAGCAATCGATTGAAAGTGCAATAAGTGTGCTACGACGTGAGACTGAAGATAATATTATTGATAGTTTACGCGCTTGGCGACTCAACACTCGAAAAAGAAATTATATTCTTCGACGCATACAAGCACTGCGTCGCCTTTATTTCACGCTTTACAGTCAAGCGTCGAACCGTGATTTAAATAAAGTGGACGAACTTATCAAAGAGGTATTGGTGGTTTGGATGCATGACACCTCTGTCTGAGGTTCAACGACTGATGACACCTAACCGAAATGATATTCCATCGAAAAGATTCAACGCTATTTATTACTTACGTTTTAGCATTACGTCTAAATTTGTCCAATCTACCAAATTATATCAAGCGGAAAAGAGACACCTGTCAAAACTGTAAATAAAAATTTATTTAAAATTTTACTGCGAACTATAGTCCTTTTGAATTGTAATAGATTTGAGCATATATTTTTTTGTAAGACCCGCCAAACCAATTCATTCCTTATTTGATAAGAAATTTAATAACAAACGGGAATAACGAAAATGAACTTGAACTTTTCTTTGTAATGTGTTTTATTGTTCATATCCCATTCATTTTTACAATGCAGTAAACTATATCGTTTGTGGCTGGTTTCGATTCTATGGCAGAAAGAATATGATGCAGAATGTTTAAAACAATTTGATTGAAATCAATTAACAATTCGTTCAATGAAAGAAATTAACCAAAAGAAAATTGTCGCCAATGAACATGATCTAGATAAGGCTGACAGTATTGTAAAAATGAGACAAAAATATGCTTATCTTTTCGATAATTTATGCTTAATCCAATTCGTTATTGGTGAATTTTTTCGAAGAATTCAGCTTGTTTGCGGTTTATGAGCGTTTTTAACTACATTAGGAAACTACCGAAGCCGAATGCCTGTTTTATGCTGTTGAAATAATATCCTCGCCAGTTTTTCGTGGTGTTATCGTATTCATTGGAAGGAACGCCAGTTTGTGTAAGATTCAAAACCGTATGATCCTCCTAAAAAAGTAAGAGAGAAAAAAAACGATGTGAACGATTCAGAACGAGAAAACAATTTAATGTTGTCCTCACCTTTTGTACAAAATCGATTGTGACTCGAGAGTAATGTCCGCTCGGCCATTGTTTGTAGCGCCAAGTTTTGACGATTTTTTCGTTTGGTACTAGTTCTTCGAATTTGCCGGTAATGTTTCCACCGAAGAGAACAAATTCACCACCGCGCACAGCATCGACCTTGGCATCCGAATGGGTGAACACCGACACCAGTTCCTGCTTTGTCAAAACCTCGTACAGATCTTTTACAGGACATTGAAATGTTTCCGTGATTGTTATCATTTTGACATCTAGTTTGCAGCCAACCGATGCAATGGCACTCTTTTTATCAGCACCCGAATTGATTGGCATCAAATTAACCTTTTTATTGAAACCACTTGTAATGTTAGACACACCGTCCGGCTTCACTTTTGCATCGTCTTTTTTCGGCAAAATCAATCCTTTGGAAAATTCTTCGCGCAACTCACGTAAGTAAACGCCTATTTGTGACCGAATCTGCGATCTCCCAATGTTGTACATGAATTGTTTTAACCGTTCCGACTCATCGCTTGATTCATCGATGCTGATTGTGATGTCGATATCATCTAAATCATTTTCCTCCGACAAATTCGGTATAGTAACCTTGCCCTTGTACGTTGGTTCACCTTCATCCAAGCTACCCTCCCAATTCAGCACTACATTCCATTCATAGAAAAAGATCAACTTGCCTTTTCTATTATTAGCCGTTGCTTCGCCGTCAACTGTATCAACTTGTACGACACTACAGTTGACTTTACTGTCATGCTTGATGGGGAAATTTTTGAATAAAGATTTGATCCGCTCTTTTGACCACGGCGTAGCATTTTTCTCCGTCCAATGCCAATTGTTAACGTTTGTTGCATCTGGCCGCTCCTCGACAATCCAGCGCGGATCTCCTTCACCCCACTTTGCCATTTTATTGTTGATTCCTTTTATTTGTTAATCACGAAAATCAATCAATTTTCTAATCGTTTTCAGTTTTGTTTTGATCAACTCTGTGCAGTGCTTTCACTTTTTCACCGCTCAAATACAGTTTGTTTGATGCTTTTCAATTCATACACAGTAACCAAATGAAAATAGTGAATAGAACTCGTCTTGAATGTGATTTTGTAGCAAATTCTAGAGCTTTCTCTGTTGATTTCGAAGCGAAATCTCGCCAGAACACATGAGACATGCAAAAAATTGCATATCAAAGTGAAGTTGGCTCTTGCATCTCGCCTCTTGACTTCGACGTTTCGTTCAAATGCCGAGTTTGGAATTGTTTTATATATTTTCTGCCATTATTATTGAATAAAATAATTAAGAAGAAACTATTCAAATCTTTGAATTAAATTCTATTTGAAAATCCATTTTTGGACGTTTTTTATAAACGCTCCATCATGTTACATTTGGTTTACCCGAACACAATATACATGTGTCAAGCGAATTTTTCATGGCGAATTGGACTCGTTTCGATTCGTTTGTTCCCAACTGTCAAATGACGTATCGCTCTCTATACAATAAATGTTTTGGATCGAAAAACTATACACACAAACATTGTAGCCCCGTTGGATGGATGACAGATGACACAACTAATTTTTCACTAAAATTTCATAAATCATTAAGTATTTCAAAAAATTTGGAATAAAAAGATATAATTTCAATTACAAACAAGCATTACGCGAATTTCCTTTAGATATGGATGATAACACATGGTATGTACAACAATTGAAACAATGATTCATTGGGTTTGCAGTCGTAGATAGTGTTCTGGTTTGGGACAGAACAAAGTTGGATTCAATTTTTCTTTTTATCATTCGATTCAATTATCGCTAAAATGTTTTTTTTTTATTTTAAAATGTTAATGCGAACACATTATAATCACAACGAATTATTAACACTTTGGTGTACCGCTATAGCTATATTGATTTAGCGTATCTGCACCACGATTTTTTTTTTGTCTACGTAATACATTCCAAGATAGTGAATGTGTTCGTATATATTGGACATATTAACTGTGCGTTAAACGATGTAAACAAGTGTTTTGCCATTTTTTTTTTGTTCAATAAGTGGGAAAACTGAAAAAATGAAATGATTTGAATTTGTGTTTTCGTCTAATTTCAGGTTAATTGAATTGGAATCGGCGCTGTTGGACGAGTGCAATGTGAACGATATCTACAGTATTTGCAATGGCAAAGCGATTCCCGAAACCCTACGGCCGGACGTTTGGCAAATTTGCCTTGATGTTCGATACAAGAATGATCAAATGGCACTTTTCAACGAAATCTTCGACTTACCATTTCAAACTGAATTGCGTCACGATTGCAGTGTTTTCGTTGATAAGCTAGGCAATGATGAAGAAGATAAACTGTCAGTGGTTTCAGACCTGGAATCAATTCTGACATTCTATTGTAAAAATCGAAGTTTGCAGTATGAGTCAAATAATGGATGGATTGAATTGTTGTTGCCGGTGCTGTCACTCAAACTAAGTCGATCTTACACATACAATTTGTTCGAAGCGATTCGCGACACATATATACCTAAAGGCTGCGTGAAAAATGGAAATGTTTTTCATTTGTTCAGACTGTTGATACTTTACCATGATCCTGAGCTGTGCTCCTTGCTAGACACAAAGAAAATAACACCAGATCAATATTCGATGTCATGGTTTCAAAGCCTGTTCGCGGCAACATGCACGCTTCCAGTTGTATTAAACATGTGGGATATGTATTTTCAACAAACAGATCCATTTTTAGTTTTCTACCTCGCTCTCATCATGCTAATCAATGGGCGAGAACAAATTCTCACGATGAAAGAGCAGACAGCTGAAGAAATAGTGAAATTTCTAACCTTCATGCCTTGTGCTCTAGAAGCCGGAGATGTCGTGGATTTTTGTTCATTGGCTCAATATTACGCAATGAAAACACCATCTTCATTCAAAACAGGATACCTAAAATCATTATTCGGCGCAGACACAAACTGTCCCGATCGGTCAATTTCACAAGCGCTTTGTTTACCCGTCACAGTTTATGAGTTAATCGAAAATATTTCCACATCACCGACCAATACGGATAGTGTTCGATTTTTCTTGGTCGACTGCAGACCCGCAGACCAATACAACTATGGACACTTACCAACGGCTTTCCACTTGGACAGTAATTTAATGTTACAGGAACCAGTCGCTTTTTCGACAGCTGTGTACGGCCTGCTTCGTGCACAAAAAATGGCCATCGAAGCGAATTCGGATGCAGGTGGCGAACACTTATGTTTTATGGGCTCGGGCCGCTTGGATGAAGATATGAAGATGCACATGGTAGTTGCATCTTTTCTTCAGAAAAACACACAATATGTATCCGTTCTAACCGGTGGCTTCGCTTCGATACATGACTATTTCGGACAACATACGCACGAGTACCTAAAAGATCATGACCCAATGCGATGCCTTATGTGTATCGGGCCCAGTAGCAGCAAGGCCAACGCAATACCCAACAGTAATAGCACTGAACGAATTAATCACGCACCATCAACATCAAGCCTAAAGTCACAACCATCGATCGATTTGTTTAGCAAGTTTTCTAGTGTTGTAAAAAGTAAATCGCAAGAAGTGAAAGGAAAATTCATGGATTACATCGCCAATCCATACACAACGCAGTCGGGAGCCTCGCCCAATGTGCCGCTCGAGAAACATGTCAACAAAAGTGAGAAAAATGGTAAACGATACCGAAATGTAGCTCCTGTCTTCAGTATCGATGAGGACAATATTGATTCAATTGTGGATAATGACGAAGAAAATGCAAATAATGAGGAAAATGTAAAGGAAACGATTAACATACAGAACTACACCAAGAACTCCGATGTCATTACGGCACTCAAATGTCAAGAGGTTCATATGAATGGTTATATGTACGACAGTCACTTGATTTTAACAACAACTCATTTGATTGTACTTCGCGATCTCGATAAAAAGGGTACAGCCGAGATAATAGTTCGTCGACCTCTCTCAAACATTGTAAAAATTACGGCCAAAAAAAGACATCGCGATCTAATTACCTTTAAATATGGTATACCGGATGGCGAAGAACTACTTATCACCGATATGGATCGTTTTCTCATACCAAACGCAAGTGAAGCGACGGCATTAGTCTCCAAGCAAATCATAAAACAGTTGGAAAACACCAAAAATGAAGATTCTAATAAATAATAATTGTTCGTTATAGTTTTATCGAATTTTTCTATGTTAAAACGTTTTCATGTATATTTTTTTTAGATTTTAAACATTCTGTAATTCATTAGCAAATTAAATATGTGCGTGAAGTCGAAGGAAGAATCGAAAAATTTGAACCCGAAGCCTATGAAAACCATTCAATAACCATATTCTGTATTCCTAGATTTGTGAAAAAAAATGTTTATTTATATCAACTTTGTAGAATATAATATTTATTTTTAACAAAAACAAATGGTGTTCATTCTTCGCATCCTTCCAATTCTAACAATTATTTTCGTACTTATAGATCACTTCTCTGATGAATTCATGCTTATAAGCATCTAACAATTATCAACCCAAATACAACCAATTCCAGGCACATATCCAAGGTTGAATACGGGGGTAGATTTAACCGTAGAAGTAACCGTCATAGCTAAAGGTCCCAGAGCGTTTTTGGCGAATTGCCCGACTATCAGGCGAAAAATGTGAAACAAAAGAATTTCTTTGAATTGTGGGTTTTGTTATGTTTTTTCTTTGCATACATGTGTGTAAATATGAACATATGATTATGTTGTTTGATATGAATACTTTTAATTACGGATGGACTTTATTTGAATTGGTTTTGGCAATCAAGATGTTTTTGTAGATCAAGATGTTGTTTGAATATTCATCTTTTTCATTACGGGATTCTTGATACGGGATTGTGTGAGAAACCAAAGTTGCTTCTTTAGCAGCCAACACTAATGAATTTCCATCGGGTTTGGCTTAAAGTATACAAAAAATGAAATGAATTTTCTGTGCATACTTTGGTGAAGAAATGAAATTTTACCTTTGAAAAAATTTGTCATTTGTTTTGAGCTCGTTGCACTGCTCGCGAGAGATTTGTGTTTTTCACTTTCAGCGTGTCGACTTACGCTACTTTCACCATTACCGCTTTCAACCATGGATATTTGTCCACCCAAGATTGATTGAATTTGCACTTGCCCCCCATTTTGTATCAAAATAAAAAACAAATTAACAAAAAACCATACACAACTCAATTGATTTCAACCGCTCAGTTGCTCGACTGACAATTTCACAATAAGCCGATCAAATGAACTGAGTCACAAATCAACACATAATTTATTTATTTATTTATTTATTTACGGCAAATGTTTGTAACATGAACGCCCTTACAAACTAGTGTTGACAATAAATATGAAATTTCTTTATTCTATTATACTTTCTTAAGAATTACATACATTTTTTTCTTTGGTTTCTTGTTAAGTAAGTCATGGCTTAGTTGTTTATTAAGGAGAATTTTTTTCAAATGTTTCTTAAAAATATAATCATATTTCAATGAGAGTTTAGTGTTCGCTGTCTCACATTATGAGACACAAATACACAGAAAGTGTGCATTTGAATACTATGTTGTCCGCGTAACACATAGCACACTTGATTTTGGATATCGTGAATTTGTGCACCCTCAGCAGATTTGATCCACTGAGAATGAAAACAGCGCATTGAATTGATTGGCGAACAAAACCAAACACAGCATTTTTTTCTAAATAATTCTCAAGTAAAAATTCACACTAATAAAATCGCTATGCTGTAGTTATGCTCACACTGATTGTCGTTCAGAAATGAGTGTGACCCATACATTTGTGAGCGACAATGAGTGTGGTATATATTTAGAGTGTGTAGTGTATGTATGTAACACTCGTTGACGCTCACAAATGTATGGGCCACGCTGAATTTTGGACGACAATCAGTGTGTGCATTGTGTACACACTCCAATTCGATTTCCTGGCACGTTAGAGCAAACGAGTGCACAATATTGTTTGAAAGAGAGCGAGCGATAAACACACAAATCGACACCGAAATTGCTTTGCACTCGACGCCGAGATCTCAGTGTCTAGTGTCCACTCTCTGTATGGTAACCGGGCGTGAATTTTGCTACTGAATTTCCACCAGAAACCATTAATGAATCTGAAAATCTTCTGAATCTGTCGGAGCACTTCTGAATGCTTTTGAATAGCTTCCAAAATGGACGAATCTACTGAAAATGAGTAATGGTCCGCGGTCGGTCGCGATTTTCGCGAAGCTGATAAAAGATAGAGGTTTGGTGTCTCTGGCAAAGTTGTAGTACTCGAATTCTTCTATAATTTTGCTCAAGACTGCTATGTCTTATCTCTTATCAGTTAGGCGCAAATAAAAAACACGCGCATAAAGCAAGGTTTTTTTGCTTATGATTTTTCGCGTTTTCCACGAAACTGATAAGAGATAACTGATAACTGTCTAGAGCGAAGTTGTAGAGAACCTCATGCACTATAAATTTTTTAAGACGCTAGTTCGTTATCTCTTATTAGTTCCGCGAAAAACAAGGTAAACCACGACTGTACACCAAATTTCGCGGTTTTTCGCGGAAGTGATGAAAGATAAAGAATTGTCGTCTTCACAGTTTTTATAGTGCTTAAAATTTTCAACAACTTTGCTCCACACACTTTCCGGTTATCTCCTATCAGACCCAAATTCTTTTTTCTATGTGCAATGCGATTTTATATAAAATAAAATCTCTACTGTGATTTTTAGGTATAAATTGAGAAAAGAAATGTTCGAAAATCAACTTTGAATGTAGTATGATTTGTTATAGGCGACAAACGATTGAATCCAGGATTAAATGCAACTGGTTGTTTCTTAATTTATTTAGACATTAATGTTTGTGCTATTGTTTGTGTTGTTTATCATCAAAGCACGCTCAATTGCCATCTCAAGAAAATGATTAAAAAATATTTTGTGATCAAAATAGAATAAATAAATCAATAAAACATCGTATTCAGTTGGACTTTCGACAAAAGAATAGATGCGTTGCAAATCATCAATGAATCACAAGAGATCCAGGATCGAACAATCATCAACGAAAAGATCATCTTGCTTTAGCTTTTTATTTAAAAAAAAGTTGTGTTTTCCTAATGTGATAATGAATTCATATGTGAAATTTGCTAGAAATTGAAGAACTTTATATTTTCAGTGCATAAAGTGGGCGAAATAACGCATAGAGGATTTGATGTTCCATGTTCGTGAACATCAATATTGGTGATTAGCAAGTTTCAATTTTTTTCCACTACGCGGTAGTCGGGCGCTGCGTGCAAGTTTCTGGATGTCGCATGTATGTGTCGACGGCGAAGACTAATCATGTTCAAGTCTGACAATCGCTGCCCGTACGGTGTGATTGAGTATTGGTTGTGCACGGATGGGTATTATAGTGAATTGTCGTTGCACGGATTCAATTTTGTCGCTCTGGATCTTGTCCCGGCAAGAGCCCAACATTTTATCAGCGACGAGTTTAACAACTGTTCCAGAGAAATCTGGACCAAATGTTTCGAAAAACCACAATTGAACTGCTGAGAATAAAAGGCTGACGATTGTAGGTTTTTCGCAAAAGCGGGATAAAAATCAGTCGCACGCAAAAGAGACATTTCAAAAGGTTGCACGCAAGAGAGAAGTATATTGTTGTTGTAATCACGGCTTGAAAATTCGAAATGCGACAAAATAAAATGTTCCGTTTGCGTGCAACCTTTTGAAATGTCTCTTTTGCGTGCGACTGATTTTTATCCCGCTTTTGCGAAAAACCTGCAATCGTCAGCCTTTTATTCTCAGCAGTTCAAATCATTTTGAATGACAGTTCGTTAGAACATCAAATTAGAACCAAAATAGCTATTTATGATAAGTGACGTCATCTCTTGTTCGATTTTGTTGTGGAACTCATTACAATAGTTAGTCTCCACAAAGGACAAGGATACTTGACTGAACGAAAGATGAAAAGGAAAAGAAATGAAAACTGTTATTTACCGACCGAAATTAAATTGCACCTTTACATTCTAGCCTATGTTGAAAATCATCCAATTTTGGAAAATATTACGGATCTTGTTGATGACCACAGCAATTCATACCGTTGCACCCGAATTGGTTGAATGTCGTATCTTTAACGTACGAAATAAAATGCGCACCAAAGTAGGAAATAACACCAATTAATTCATATTTATGAATGTCATTTCCATTTTTACACTCGACACAATAACACGGCAATGATAATGGAATATCAATTACAGTGTCACTTAAATTATGAGTAATTTTTTCACGTTTCTTTTTTATGGTTTGTCTATCCAGAATAATTTTTTTAACGACAGATGAACTTGTGATCTCGACACTTTCACTGTCCACTAATTCTTCACTACAATCGCGATTCAGTTTAACTTTTTTTCGGTACAATTCAGAAATGAATTTAAAATATAATTTTTACTATCAAAATGTTCTGATTTTGTTTGCGGGATTCTGTGTGTTTGAGTACTGTACGAGAAAAATTCGTTTGTCACATTTTCACAAACGACGCATCGGGCTTTGGCGCAAACAATGCGGTATCGCCTAGATATATCCATTGGATATTTCTGCTAGACGGCATATTTTGTTGCGTTTATACAAACGCTTCGTTAAACAGTGACGGTGTCGCGCGCGACATACATAGAACAGATCGCATTTGAGGAGGCGTCGCAAATACAAATACATGAGCGATCAAGTCTTTGAACACATACGAACCGCGGGCACACAAATGGTAGCGTCCTTAAATGCGCTCTGTTCTGTGTATGTCACGCGCGACACCGTCACTGTGTAACGAAGCGTTTTTTCAAACGCAACAAAATATGCCGTCTAGCAGAAATATCCAATGGATATATCTAGGCGATACCGCATTGCTTGCTTTGGCGACACCACTTTTAATGAAGAGATTTTTTAATGAATTGCATTTTTCCAAATAATTTTGACGTCTTGGCGGATCAAAATTTGTGATGATAGCTTCGCGATAAATTACACCTAATTGTACTAAATATTCAATGATTCCTGTAATCAATTCGGACAGATATACGCTTGGGGGTTAAGTTTCGTTATAAACAAGCGAATAAAGTCAATCGTCGATTTTAATTCCAAATTAATTTCATCATGTAAAATAGGATCACTTTTCACTTTCTTCGCAAGTAGTTGAAATACGTCATGCACACAAAATAGTCGGTTTGTCAGATTTCAGATATTTGACATAAATGTCAGTTCATGTGAAATTTAAATGAATTTCACATAAACCGTGCCTATATAAATGTATGGTTATGACGTTTATGTAGATCTTGTCAAATCTTCGCAAAAGGGTTGGTTCATATGAAGTTTTGACAAAATCTACATAAACGTCATAGCCATACATTTATATAGGCACGGTTTATGTGAAAT